CCTATTTTCACTGGGGATAAAATTTGTCCTCCATCCCTGATCCCCAATGGGGATTGGTTTCCCATAGGAATCCAAATCACTAAATTTTTTTAGATAATAGTATTTTTTGAAAAATAAATTTACATAAAACAAATAAAAAATTTAAATTATAAATAATATTTTAAATATATTTTGATATATATAATAAACATTTAATATCAATAACATTTAAATATATATAACTGGGGTCGGGGCGGGGACCTCAATCCCCATCCCCGACCTGATGGTTCAAGGAAGTTGGGTCCCGTCAAGGAAGGGGAAAATTGCCATCCTTGAATGGCATTCCCTCCCCCTTCCCTTGGGAATGAAATCTCATTCCAGCTTATTACATCTTCCATTTCGATTCCTATTTGGTCCAAACAGACTATGAAATAGACTATTTCAATTCCAATTCTAACATTTTGATTCCGATTCCAACCATGAACCAAATAAACCCAATCCAATCACCAAACAAGCCTTCTAGAGCATCAGTCCCCCCAAAACTATTTACTTCTTGCTAGTAGAATGTCTTGGCTATCATTATCAAACAAATAAGCAAGGTTTTAAAAACCAACCTGAAAACAAAACCGTTCTAGCTACCGGTTTTTGGGTCAATGGTTCAACTGTCTGAATCAAATAGTTTGGACGGTTTGCATTATTAGGGTAAATATTATCATATAAAAGTTTTACATGAGAATGGAGAAGAGATTATGGAGTTGTCATTTCAGAAAGAAAGAAGGAAATAAATGAAGGAGAGAAAGGAAAGGAAGGAAGGAGGGAAGGAGGGAAGAAGGAGGGAAGGAAGAGGAGGAGGAGGATTCAACGCTCACCGGCGACAATAATGGCAATAGCAACAGTGTGGTGATGGCAACAAACACAAATCTCAAATCTGAAATCTTAGAATTGAGATCGATTTCTCTCCAACCTTTGCAATCTCTTCTTCTTCTTCTTCTTCTTCTTCTTCCTCTCTCTCTCTCTCTTTATATAGATATATATATAATATCTATCTATCTATCTGTTGGATCTCAAATCTGAGTTCGTCTCTCACTTTCTCCCCTCTATGTCCTCCACAACTTTCTTAAACCGTGAACTGCTGTCCGGGTGGAACGAGTCAATGATTCAACCACCCGAGTCAGCGGTTCTTTGACCAAGTCAACAAATTTTGACCTAGAAACAGATTAAGGGTGAAACAGAATTGATTGCTTAGACAGTTTCTAGGTTATTCGGGTCAACGACAATTCAAAAAACATTGCAAATAAGAAAATACCAATTGACACACTATCACAGATCCCTGAACACCACTCGAACAACAAAAAGGATAAAAGGCGAAAGAACAATTAGATTTTGAAAACCTTTTTATCGTAGTTGTTTAAATGTCTTAACACAATGAAAAGGGTTGAATATTTCCACAACTATTCTTTGCAAGCATTGACATATGATACCATGGTTTTAAAAGTCAACATGGAAATAGAACCATTTTGACCACCAGTTCCTAGGTCAAGAGGTTTGATTATCCATTCTCAATCCTGATTAAAACGGTGCATGGGTTCAAAACCGACCTGAAGCCATGACCAGCTCCTAGATCAAACAGTCTGATCATCCCCCGGTCCGGTCCCAATGAAATTGTTGGATAGAATCATATCTTGGATATAAATGGAAATTTGGAAAAGGTTTGAGGTAGTTATTAATATGAAGGGAAAATGTGAAAAATAAATATTTTAATCAATTAACATTTGCATAGGTATTTTGAATATTTTCATATCTCTTGTTAGAGAATTCTAATAGGATTTAATTGCAACTGTAAAATTGAGACTATTACCAAAAGTGGCACGAGCAGAAAGTTTAGGAGAAGTTTCAGCAATTTACCCTTTTATAGGGATTCAATGTTTGGGCCCAACAAAACAGTTGGAGAGAATCCCGCCTTTGCTACAAATGGAATGTATTCGAATCATTTTACCTACATATAAATTTGATCCATTAATAAATCTTAATAGTGGGATCAGTGATAGAGTACACACAACCCATTAGCACAAAGTGGAAAACTTTCCTTCCCACAAACCCACGCCTCCTCCCCTTGTGATCCAGCTCCATAGAAGTGAATTGGTCTTTGAAGCTTGGCCTATGACTCTTTGGTAAATATATTAGATATATTGTTTGAAATGTTTCTTCTAAAGTTGCAATTGGGTGGGCCCAAATTGATGTCAAACCATTCAGCCTACAATTTTACATGTCTGGGCTTTGATTTTCAGTCCTCAATTTGGGCTTAAGCTTAAAAGTTTGGGCCTTTTTTATTTTTCAAACAGAGCTCGAGCCTAACTCTTAGGTTGTATTTGGTTCGAAAGAAAAGATATGGAAACATAAGTGATGTAACTGTTTCTGGTCACGTACCAATTTTTTGTGATGTATAAATTTTTTTGGCTAAGTACCTCATTATTTGACCCGGTGGTGACGTGCCTTGGTGATGAGCTACTTGGTGGCGAACTCCCTAGTGGAGAACTACCTGGTGGCGAGCTCCCTAGTGGAGAGCTACTTGGTGGCGAGCTCCCTGGTGGAGAGCTACTTGGTGGCGAACTCCCTGGGGGAAAACTGCCTGGTGGACTCGTCATTTGACCTGCTCCTAGGCRGCCTGCAACTCAGAGGATGGTGGAGCTCCCTGGTGCAGCGCAACCCGACTGCCCTCTGCATGAGGTGATTTCCTCTCCTTTGTAGGCAGCGGGAGTTGAGGGACCTACGAGAACTGAATCAAAGGACCCGGGGGTATTTTCCCGGCGGGGACTCTCCGATGCCTAAGTTAGCATTCTGATTACAGAGAGCTTGAAGAGAAATGAGAGAGCTAGAGAGCAGGGGTTCCCATCCTTTTTTTTCCTCCCCCTTGGCTTTGGGGGTCGGAGTCCTTATATAGTGGTGTCCTCGCGGGTTAGGTGGGTGAAAAGCCTTCAAACGGTAAGATTCGTCACATCCCGCCAGAACCGGGGTATGGAGGTGAACTCCTCGAGGTAGTCAGGCTGGCGCTTGTGTCAGGTGGCCAGGTCGGCGCCTGAGCCAGGTTGTCAGGTCGGCGCCTGTGTCAGTCGGCGGGTCGGTGTCTGGGCCAGGTTGTTAGGCAGGAGATCTTCCTGCGATACGCCAAACTACTCTTCTGTACCGAGCTACCCTACAAGTGGCGAGCTGCCCAGGGGAGCTATGCCGAGCTGCTTGTGGCGAGCTTTCCCGAGCTGCCTGGCTCCTTGGTGGCGAGCTCCTTGGAGAGCTGCCTAGCTCCTTGGCGAGCTCTTTGCTGAGCTACCGAGCTCCTTGGTGAGCTACCGAGCTCGCGGGGTATGCCGTTATGGTTCATCGGTGGCGTCTTATGGGTTGCCAGGTCGGCCAGGTCGGATCATGTGCTCGACTGATCCCGGTCGGCCAGGTCACGCAGGCCGCGCCAGGCAGCGCGTAGGCCACGCCAGACAGTGTGCAGGCAACGCGTAGGCCTCGTGCAGGACACGCTAGACAGTGCGCAGGCACGCGGCCCGCGCGCCAGGTCGGTGCCCCGACGGGACACCGATTTGGTAAGTTGTTGCTTGGGTGTCGCCTAGTTGTCACGAGGTGCCACGTGTCACAATTTCACTGGAGGGCTAAATCTGCCCTCATCAATAAGCCTTCCTTTCTTTACCTTTTCTTTCAAACCAAATACAGCCTTAGGTGGCCGAAACCAAGTCCAAGAGCATCAGATTTCAGTCCAGGGTAGATCCAAGTTGGATGGATTGGGCCTAACCTTGGGTTTTCATGTTTGGGCCTTAGACTCACTTCTTAGGGTTGGGCTTGGGTTGAACTTAAACCCACATGACTTGCACTCCTATCTCCTCCATTTTTTTAGTTGGCTAAAATGTTGTTTGTTTCCATTGCAAGAAACATTAAAAATGAGGTTTTCTTCATAAATTACCCTCACATATTTTGAAGCATTCAATATTACTTGAAAATGGCTTAAAAACACTTGAAAAAACAAGTAAAAATGAGGAAATCAGATTTGGTCCTCACAAGGTCGTCTTCACAGTTCCTTACAGCCATACATTGGAAATATCTCTCCATGAAAGAAAAAATAAGTTTAGAGGTATTTCCAATGCATGACTACAAAAAGCTGTGAGAACATCTTTGAGAAACAACTTTGCTTCAGTGTTGTGTGGCATTTTTTCATACGTGTGCCATTAGGAACGTAGTGATGCTCAGCAGTAATAAAAAATCTTACCTTGCACTATGAGTTTAACTAGAATATGGATTTCTTACACATGACAACTCTGCTCACACCTACTCACATATCATTGCAGCCACACATAGAGAATATCTCATTCTCTTACATGTTATTATGTACAGTGAGATATAGGTAATGTTATGTAGGTAGCGTGGATAAAATTGTTGTGGGTAGGAGATCTCAACTCCGGAATTGTTTAACCCATTTGTTTCCCGATTTAGTACTCACAAAATTTGACCACACACAGTATTGGAAGACTTGCAGCTGTGCATTGATAACATCTCTAATGAATTAAAAAAAATATATGGAGATGTTCCAAATCCACGAGTGTAGGTATTGTGTGAGAATGGTGTGAGGAAGACTAAATCTGGTGTCCACTATAACAACCAGTCAGTGAACAGTGATCTCAGCCAGTTGGCACGTTTGCGAGGGCCACTTCCTTTCTATTAGCCGCTCGCCAACTACACGGCGCTCTCCGCTATGCAGTCAAAACACACTGTTGCTTCCCGTAAGAGAGATTACGATATAATTTTTAAGAGGAAAGTAATAAGACTACGATATGCGGTTATAATGTGTTGGATTATTTCACAGAAAAAACCGCTCCGTGAATCAAGATAGTTGAAACGGGGGCGGCTCTATGTTTAACTGAATCGGATTTTTCGGTGCCAAAAAACCAGTTTTTTTCGGTAATTTTCTTGAAAACTAGGGAGATTTAATTAATTTTGATGCCTAAAAGACTAAAAAAAGTAAAAAACAACCCTTAAATCGCACGTAGCTTCTTGTTCGCTCGTTAAGGCTTACGACCAGAGTCTCCGTCTCCGTCCCCTCCAAAAATCAAAATAAGAGAAAAACTTTCTTTATCTGAGCGGAAAGGAAACCCTAATCTTTGATAAATTAAAGATAGTTATTATCTGTATTGTCTCATGTTCGATCGAGGTAAGTTTCGATCGATGTTCTACAGCATTCACTCTCATTGTTTCTCCCCTGAAATCGAGCTTCCACTGCGTTACTGCTGCTAATATTATTCTTCTTTTTGGGCAATTTATTCCATCAGTTATCGTAAGTTGCGGCAGAAGAAATTAACTTGGCGAACGGTAAACAGAAAAAAATCTTTTAAATCAATTGAGCTTCCATAGTTTTTGCCAGTTTAGATGAGCAGAAAGGACTGAAAAACTAAAAAAAAAATCGCGTTCTTCTAGGGGTTAAGGATTTATTCTAGGGTTTTAGGTTCTTAGAACCCCCATGGACGACTTTGAGAAAGCTATACTCATTAGTTTCGATGAATCCGGTACTATAGATCCCGTCCTGAAATCCCAGGCAGTTGCTTATTGTCAACAGGTCAGAGAAACTCCGTCGATCTGCCGCCTTTGTATAGAACGCCTCATTTGCACTAATTTTGTCCAAGTCCGGTTCTGGTGCTTGCAGACTCTCCACGAAGTTCTCTGTCTCCGGTACTCATCTTTGACTCCTGATGAGAAGTTGTATATAAGGAAATCTTTACTATCGATTGCATGCTTTGAAGGTTCAGATGATAAGAACTTGGTTAGGGTTTTGGATGGTCCGGCATTTATAAAGAACAAGTTTTCTCAGGTGTTAGTCACTCTCATATACTTTGAGTATCCTTTGATTTGGTCATCCGTCTTCATTGATTTCCTTCCTCACCTGAGCAAGGGTGCGCCAGTGATTGATATGTTCTGCCGGGTTTTGAACACTCTGGATGATGAGCTGATCAGCTTAGATTATCCCCGTGGTGCTGAGGAAGTGGCTGTGGCTGGACGGGTTAAGGATGCAATGAGGCAACAATGCGTGCCTCAGATTGTCCGGACCTGGTATGACATTGTTTCCCTGTACCGGAATTCTGACCCGGAGTTATGCACTAGTGTCTTGAATTCTATGCGGAGATACATATTTTGGATTGACATTGGATTAATTGCTAATGATGCCTTCATCCCCTTGTTGTTTGAGCTCATCTTGGTTGAGGCGCTTCCAGAGCAGCTCCGGGGTGCTGCCGCTGGTTGTGTTCTAGCAATGGTTTCTAAACGGATGGATCCACAGTCCAAGATCTCACTCTTGCAGAGCCTTCAAATTAGTCGGGTTTTCAGTTTAGTGTACAAAGATGTGGATTCTGAATTAGTTTCCAAGTTGGCAGCTATGCTTACAGGCTATGCAGCTGAGGTTTTGGATTGTTTCAAACGTCTAGATTCAGAAGAGAACAGGAGGATCTCAATGGAGCTTCTGGATGAAGTCCTTCCCACAGTCTTTTATGTAATGCAGAACTGTGAGGTAGACACCACATTCAGCATCGTCCAATTTTTGTCAGGCTATGTTGCAACAATGAAGAGTTTTTCACCACTGAGGGAGAAACAAGTGCTTCATGTGAGTCAGATATTAGAGGTGATACGTGCACAAATTTGCTATGATCGTGTCTATAGAGATAACCTTGATATGCCGGATAAGATTGGGAGAGAAGAGGAAGATAGGATGGTGGAGCATCGAAAGGATTTATTTGTGTTGCTTCGTAGTGTGGGCCGTGTTGCTCCTGATGTGACCCAGGTATTTATCAGGAATTCATTAGCTACTGCCTTGGTATCTAGTTCAGATGAGAATGTTGAAGAGGTAGAGTCTGCGCTTTCTCTTTTCTATGCCATTGGAGAATCAATAAGTGATGAGGAAATGAGAGCTGGAAGTGGGCTTTTGAAAGAATTAGTGCCTATGATCCTATCTGCACGGATTTCTTGCCATTCTAATCGGCTTGTGGCACTTGTATACTTAGAGACAATAACCAGATATATAAAGTTTGTTCAGGAGAATACTCAGTACATACCACTGGTGTTGGCTGCATTTCTTGATAAAAGGGGCATATACCATCCAAATCTTAATGTGAGTCGAAGGGCAAGTTATTTCTTTATGAGAGTTGTAAAACTGCTGAAAGCAAAGCTTGTGCCTTTTGTAGAGACAATTTTGCAGGTATTCAGGTCCTCTCACAGTCTCTTCTGCTCAAACATTTTCCTTTCTTTATAATACATTATAGATGATGATTCTGATCCTTACTATTCTCTTTATAACTTCCTTTAAATTCCTTAATACATTTTTTAATGTAATGATTGCTTAACAGAGTCTGCAAGATACCGTGAGCAATCTTACACATATAGATTGGACATCAAAAGAGTTGATTTATTCTGGATCAGAAGATGGAACTCACATATTTGAGGTATAACTCAGTTTTATCTAGTTTACGGTTTGTTTTACCATATGAACTGTGAGGGAGGTGCTTTCTTCTTCAGCTAGTTTGATTTAATTAGTATCTACATTTTTGCAGGCAATTGGTTTATTAATTGGGATGGAGGATGTTCCACTAGAAAAGCAGTCTGAGTACCTCTCTTTGTTACTTACTCCTCTTTGTCAACAGGTTAAGATGGAATTACCATTGTTAAAGGATCTATATTTATGTCTAGTGACCAGGAAGAGCTTTTTTTCTTTTTGTCATTTTTTGGTGTATTTTTATAGTCTTGATTCTCCTGGTTATCAAATTGATATTGACTTGTATGGTACAAAATGTAATATGTCAAACAGGTCGAGGTGCTGCTTTTAGAAGCCAAAGTACAAAATGCTGAAGAATGTTCCGCAAAAGTGGTTATTATCCAGCAAATAATCATGGCAATCAATGCACTAAGCAAGGTTTCCATTCCATTGTTAAGTCATTTAACATAGTATTAGGAGATGCTTGTAAGCTATAACTTCAGTCATTGCTGCTTGTCTACATTTGTTAATTTTTTATATGTATTATGCATATTTAAGGAATTGAATATTTTGTGTTTATTAATTATAGGGTGATTAATCCTTTTTTGTTTGGTTGTTATTTTTTCAGTTCTAACTCATTTGTGTTTGTCTGGATTGATATTATATTTCTTTAGTGTTCTTGTTATGTATTGAAGGATATTCTATTGTAATTGTTGTACCTCTAAGGTAGCCTTCTTTGTTTGGGCTGCAATGATAATGTATTGTTCACTGACTGCTTCATTATTCATTATTGTCTTGTTGCTAGTAATTTAGTGCTTTCACGAGTCACAAATTTGACCTGCACTCCTGTTCAGCTAGTTTGACCCTTCATTTCCTAGTTATAAGACTTTTCACTGGTATTGTCTGTTGTAGCCAGATTAAACTTGGTAATCAATAAAAAACAATCAAATTAGTAATCAATAGACAAGATTTATCACATGTTGGAGTTTTGACTGGAACCTTCTTTTCATACATCATATATGCAAAAGAGTTTGTGCTTACTATGAAACTGTTTGTTCTCTAGGGTTTCAGTGAGCGTCTTGTCACCTGTAGCCGTCCTGCAATTGGTGTCATGTTCAAGCAGGTCAGTATCCAAGACTTTGGTAGTTAGCGCAATGTTACATGTGACATTATGATTATTTTTCTAGGCCTCAGCCAGCTGGATTGCTTATCTGCAAGGTTGAACTAGCCTATCAAGGCGTTACCTTTTTGCTTTCTATTAAAGCAGTCTAATCAGATTGTCTCGACCATTTAACTAAACTGTTTCTGTTTTGTAGAGAAGACCCTGTCACTGGGTGGGGGTGGGTTAGGTTGTAAACATGAAAGCTCTTGCTACTATGTGTATATATATCCTTCTGAAATGATTGATAGAGCCCATCTTAGTGCACCCACTCCCAAAAAAGAAAAAAAGGAAAAAATCCACACCCTATATGAAAATCAGAAAGTAAATAAGGAGAAGAACATGGACTCCCCCCCACACGCACATGCAAGAAAAATAAAAGAACTCATACAGGGCAAGTATTTAGCTATCATAATTATGGATTCTTACAGCATCCCTAAAGTTGTATTTGGCTCTTCTTGTTCCAGACACTTGATGTCCTTCTTCAGATTCTTGTGGTCTTTCCAAAAATCGAGCCTTTGCGGAGTAAGGTAAGTAGTGTATGTGGTATTACTTTCTTCAGATATTGCATTAACAACACTATTATCTAATGCTAACTGTTCCAATATGCAGGTTACATCATTTGTGCACCGCATGGTGGACACTTTGGGAGTATCTGTATTTCCTTACCTTCCCAAGGCATTGGAACAGTTGCTTGCTGAAAGTGAGGTATAATAGAATTTTGATCTTAACTTTTATCTTTCATTATTGTTAGTTCACCAGCATCCTCTGCTTTGGCCATTTTTTCCTTCTGTATGAATCTTTATTGGTATTGCCATTTGCCATTCTTGTTAACGTTTGTAGTTTATAGGGCATTACCCATATTCAGTGTTTCTTTCCTATTTATTCTACCTTTTTTCCTCCTTTTTGTTTTTTAAATTATTGCTTATCATTATTGATCAAAAAAAATTATTGCTTATCATGTACATTAAATATTATTGTTGACTTTAATGTCACTAGATGCACCACACTCTTTAGGTGGGGTTTATGGTGATCCTTGTATTTCATTTTACAAGCTTTGCCTCGATAACCTTTCAGTCTAATGTTTCTCATTACATGCTAGGATGAAAGTGTTTTCATGCCATATCTTTTAATGCTTAAAATTGTATATGATGTGGTTATGCCAATCACTTTTAATGTCCAGATAAGTAATTGATTACTGATTTGAATCATAGGTTTGATGAGATGCTAGTTGACAATATTTTCTTTACATGACTTCAATTATTTGGTTATGATTTTTGGAAGTTATGACAGTTGCAGTCAAAAGCGATGGTGGGTTTTCTCATATTAATCAATCAGCTTATATGCAAATTCAGTACCAAGGTGGGTGATATATTAGAGGAGATTTTCCCTGTTATTGCAAGTAGAGTTTTTCATATTCTACCAAGGGATGCATTTCCTTCTGGACCTGGAAGTAACACTGAGGTAAGGTATCTGGTTATTCATTTAGGTCTTCACCCACATTACTGACAAACCTACATTGTCAAATGTGTTTGAAAATGTTAAACATATGAAGTTAGGTCATTGAATTTAATCTTTTACTTTTAGCAGTTGAGTTTGAAGAATGTTTGCTTTACATGTCTTTTGTATCATAGAGTGGATATCATCTATAATTTGATGGTTAGAATTTTCACTTGATTTATGGTTATCCCGGACTTTGCTCCCTTAACATTTATTTTACTCATTTATCCTTTCCTTTGGGGAAGAGGGTGGGCCTTGCTCAATGATTGGGTTGCTCCATTGCAACCCGGGTGACCAGGGTTCAAATCATGGAAACAGCCTTTCTGTCTGTGTATCTGCAGGGTTAAGCCTGCATTCCTTTGTCCTTCCCCAGACCCTGCATTGGTGGGAGACTTGTGCACTGGGCTATCCTAATAACCCTGGGTGCTACTTCAATGGATTCCACCAAAAAAATGGAATGCTACTTGAATGGAAGAAATAGCGTGTATAAGTGCCATGCATAAAGGATTTATTCAAGGATCAAAATTTCAGTACGTATCGGGCCGTATCGGTTGCCTCCCTATACACCCCTACAGTGGGTGTTTCGGGGCCTGACCTGGTTCAGGGGGTAGACGTGCCTTTAAACCGACTCCTCTGAACCAGGTTAAAAAAAAAAACTAAAAAAAAGGAAGTGAGTCTTACAGTCCGATACACCCCAACCGGCGTATCGGACTGTATTGATATTTTGAACCTTGGATTTATTTTAACTGCTCTCTGGTGGCTCATTTGTTTGCAATGATTTCATAGAGGTTATTTAACACTTTTTACATGCATGCTAAGAGCGCCTGCTTCATTTTGTAGGAAATTCGCGAGCTTGAAGAACTTCAGAGGACATTGTACACGTTTCTTCATGTGATAACTATGCATGACCTATCTTCAGTTTTTCTTGCCCCAAAAAGCAGAGTCTACTTGGATCTAATAATGCAGTTACTCTTATACACTTCTTGCAATCACAAGGATATTCTTACTAGGAAGGTGCTTATTGTTTTTAACTTACCATTCGACTTAGACTTCATTGCATGATGAATGCTGACAGGTTTTTCTTAGACTAAAACCTAATAGTTTTTGCTGTATCTGCTATTCAGACATGTGTACAGATTTTTATTAGACTGATCAAAGACTGGTGTGCCAAACCTAATGTGGAAGAAAAGGTAAGCCACTTTTCAAATGTTTGCTGGTTATGCCTTTTTCTGTTCCTTTCTTCATACTGAGCTGAAAAAAATTTCTCAGGTGCCTGGTTTCCGAAGATTTATAATTGAGACCTTTGCAATGAACTGTTGCTTGTACAGTGTGCTTGACAAGTCATTTGAGTTCCGTGATGCCAACACTGTAAGATCCTCTACCATGCTTTCTTGTACTGGTGTCCACTGTCTGCTTGCTTATCTGGATCTATATATTGCTGTTAAAGTTCCGTTTACGTGTACCAATCAAAAGAAGTTCCATGGATACCTTCTCTTCTATCTTGTCTTGGATGGGCAATATTGTTCTTGAGAAATCATGATACAACTAGTTACCTTATGCTACTATTTTCCATAAGGTAATTAGATAATTTGAGGCATACATTTTCTTGATTTCTTTAAGCATAAATGTCATCATGATAAGCCAGACAGCAAAACTGATCTACTTTGAGGGAGCTCTTTGCAGCTTTTCTGTCATTGAATATTGATGTTAGTTTCATTTTAGGGAAATTGCTAGGCATTTCTCTCCAAAAGAGATCATTTGGTAAGATGATCAATGTCTCTAAAGAGGCCTGGCTTTTAGGTTGAGTAGGGCTTCAAAAAGAGGCTGTATCCAGTTTTATGGAATTACTACCTGCATTCTCTTTCTTCCAAAAAAATCCAGCTCAAGTCTCAATGGATGTAACATATTTGATAATAACGAAAGAAGATATCATTAAAAAGTAGAATACAAACAAAAGTTGAGAACTAAATGATGAATAATCTGTTCTTGCAAGCCAAGACATATACAATGACCATGGGTCAGCATCAAATGAAGACTGAGATACATCTTCAGAGTTCAGACTATTGGTGAAACAGTAGGAAAATCCATAGTGAATGGAACAACAGCTAGAAGTCTTTTGACGTTTCTTCGTTTACTACCCTTCTGTTCAATTTTTTCCTGGTAAATCTAAACAGGCTACAAATGGTACAAAACTCAAAGAAATCCAAGCCTTATTATTACCTGAAATAGCTGGCCATCTGGAGATGATTACCCCAAACCCACCCTAATCTCATAATGATTCACTGGATATCTAATCAGAGAATCATAAAAAGATTTTTTTCTGAAAAGTCTCCATTATCATATTCATTCCACTATCATACATCTAGCATTGAAGATAAGACATTTGAAGCGTTGAGCTTGCCGAGCAAATTTAACTGAACTGAGAGGATGGTAATGGTCAGTTTTGTTGAAGTAGTAAGGTGACGAGTAATCATTTTGGTCTCCTTAGTCAATGCCATAGTCCATGTCTGGGTACTGACTTGATGCATTCTTGAGATTATGCCATGTCAAATACAAGGTAATACAGATTGCAAATATGCAAAAAGATTGATATAAAACATTTAGGTTGTGTTCCGATAAACTTTAGGATTTGTGCTTTTAAAGCCTAAAAAGGCACATGGCTTTTTAGGCTGTGTTTTGGCTTCAGGGCCTCGTTATTTGCCAGGAAGTTGTTTACCCAGGTAAATCCTTTTACCTGTGTTCTTTTGTCAGGAAATGTTAGCTGGTTAAATGAGGCGATTTCCCAAAAGAGCACTACCTATTGTGTGCTGGGCTGCTGGCAAGGGCATTTTAGTCCCACAATAGTTTGGCCAATTTTCCTCCTTAATGGGTAAGTAATTTACCAATTTGGGAGAGGGGTGTTAGAGAATAAAACCTATTCAAGGACCTCACTTAACAGCTTAAGCTTTTAGGTTGAATGGTTCTTTGAGATGGTATCAGAGCCACTTTGACCAAGTGGTCTAGTGTTCGATTCTCGTCACCCCCATTATAATAAATTAAGTTTCAGCACAAGGTATGGGTGGGCCTGTGCTGTCCACGCTTCAAGCCCAATGCTTGAAGTGTGAGGGGGCATGTTAGAGAATAAAACCTATTCAAGGACCTCACTTAACAGCTTAAGCTTTTAGGTTGAATGTTTCTTTGAGAAGGGGCAAAGCTTACCTGGGAAGTGGCCTAAAAATTTACCAAGGGAAAGTTCACTTTCTGTGGGACCTACACTTCCTTGCAAAAGAACACACAGAAGTTGGTTGACCCCCCCCCCACCCAAAAAAAAAATACCAGTAGAAGAACCGGCCCTTGATTGTTTCTCACAGCCCAAAGCTCTGAAATGAATGAAAGTTTATCCAAACAGAGCAAGGTTTATAGTCTGTTTTACATGAGTAGAACTTGGGAAGAGGACCAATATGCAGTGAGTTCAGTACAGCTGACTGGACTTTGTGGTGGGCTGGGGGGCTGATCTTGAAAGTCCTCTTTCTGATGGATTGTTTTAAATTGCCAAATCATCTCTGCATGTGGCTGAAATATGAGAAGCTATAAGGACAACAAATATCTGGGGGGGCTGATCTTGAATTGAGAAGACGGGATTGAGTCTGACAGGTGTAGAACGTGGATTTGAATCTGACATCTGACAGTGTCACTTTTTGTAAAAAATGCCAAAGGTAAAGTCCATATCCAATCCACCCCTTCTTTTTTTTTTGATAATTATCCAATCTACCCCTTTCAAGACAACAGATAGCCAGGACCTTCATTTGGTAATAGGCCCTTGGATTTACTTATCAGAAAGCCCTTTCCCCTAAAAGTTTCCATTAGTTGAATTAATTATGGGTTTTATTCCAAATGCACACCTTGTTTTGATTTTGAAAATGTTGTGTATGCTATCATTTACTATTAGCAGTGTGCCTCCATGATAATTTTGACATTGTTGCTTTCTCTGATTCTGAATGACAGCTTGTTCTGTTTGGAGAAATTGTTGTGGCACAAAAAGTTATGTATGAGAAGTTTGGTGATGATTTTCTCATTCACTTTGTATCAAAAGGTTTCCCAAGAGTTCACTGCCCCCAAGGTTTGGCTGAGCAATACTGTCAAAAGTTACAGGTATAAGATGTAACAATTCAACTCTTTGTCCCAACTATATGGGTTTAGCTACATGAATCCTGTTCTACCATTCGACTATGTTAAGTGCCACATCTAATGTTATATTATGAGCCCTCAAATCATTTATTACTACTGCTGTTTATAGTTAATAATTAAGAGGACAAGAGTTTTTTGGTCAGGTTGTTTGGGGGGACTTCTAAACGGCCCAGGAATTTTCCAAGTGGCAAAAAATTTTTGGCATGTTTGCATATTCTTCTTCTATATGGTCAACTGTGAGCCCAAAAGGCCTAGTCATTGTGGGCATTACTAAATTAAAATATTGGAACTTTTGACCATTTGAAAAGAAATTGGTTGAGCAATTAGAAGTTTATAGAATTAAAGATATAATAAACTTCCATTTCACTAATGTTGCTGTCATTCTTAACCATGTTCTTACAGGGCAGTGATATCAAGGCACTAAAATCATTCTATCGCTCGCATATTGAAAATTTGAGACAACAGCAGAATGGAAGCCTTGTATTCAGATAGCATCGTCTTGCTACGTTAATCAGATTACTAGTATTTACTGGATATTATCTGACTTCCTGGATTTCTGCATTAGGTGGCACTCCATTTTTGCATTTAGAGGTTGGTTATAACAGTTTTGGGACAAGGCTTTGTTGAGTTGAGTATGTTGGGAAACTCTTATTATATTTCCTATCTGGAGTTTCCCTTCCATGATGTACTCATGTCAAGTGTATATTGCAGGGTGTTTCTTTTGTATATATGATATTTGTGTGGCCATCTAAGACGGCGAGGTATGCTAGAATTCTCATTATCTTCAACTTAAGTCTGTCAAACTGTGCTTTTGACTAGGCTAGAAATTTCGATTGTCCACCACTTATTGATTGGTGATTTGGTGGCTGGTGGCTGTTATTTTTTATTAGCAGGTGTAAATTTCCGGAGCACTTCATTTAAATACGAAGAAATGCGGGTTTCCTGCCTGTCCGGGAAGTGTTAAGTGAGTGTACAAATTTGAGTTTTCAGTAACAAAAGGTCGTTTATATTCATGTTTCCATAGTTAAATCGCTTTTCCTTTATCCAATAATTAATTCAAGGGTTCTAACGGTTTTTAAATCCCCGGAGTTGGTGATAATTGCAACTTCCATGTCTTGTCATAGGAGGAAAATAGAAAAGGATTCCAAGTTTCCACAGAAACGTCTGCAGTTGATGTGTTATTTAATGTAGTTTTCCCTCGATACCCGGAATATCGAATGCAAGCGTCATGAAGGCCGATGGAATTATAATTTGCAAGAGCTAAACCGGCCATCCAGCTGAGGCCAACCTTAGGGTCTGTTTGGTTTGAATAAGAATTGGAATTGAAATTCTTTTGAATCGAATTTCATAAGATATGCATGACTTCCAAGGATGGTTGTCATTAGTAGGGGTGTCAATTGGACGGGATTTGGTCCAATCCAATCCAGTCCATTGTGAGTCCATTATAAATGGATGAGGTCCAATCCAATCCAATGATTGTTTTGGACCAATTTGGACTGGTCCAATTCAATGTCTGGACTGTCCAATATGTTCAAATTCATTTTGATTTAGATTGGTTTCAACCCAAACCCGGTCCATTGACTTAATCCAACCCAATCCAATATAAATTTGTTACTGATGGATCAGGTCCAATCCAATATAATAAATATTTTGGACCAGATTGGTCCAATCCAATTCGTTCAAATTGATTTTGGATGGGATGGGGTCCAATCCAAAACCGGTCCATTGACACCCTTAGTCATTAGATAAAGAGAAATAGGGTTTGAGGTGGGGTTTCACAATGGGCCATTCTGATTCTGATTCCAGATTCCTATTCCAATTAACCAAATGGGCCTGTATTGTGGTCCATTACATACGGTATGGGTGATAACCTTGGGCTGTAAGAATCGTGACATCCTAGCTTTCCATTACTCTGATGTCTGATTACCTGGTTACACTTGAACGACGAGAGCGAATTATTGAGCACAAGTGTGGATAGGTCAAACATTAGCTTGAGGCATGATCACAACAGTTTTACCACCCTAAATTAACACACGTTTTTGCCACAACATCGCTTATGTTTCTGTCCTTTACATAATGATGGGATTCGTGATTCTCTGATTCATTGGCCATGGCTAACCGTGTTCTGCCGCAGTGGAATTGAATTTTGTCGAAGTTAACTCTTTTTTTACGGACGTCATTGTACAGGAGCTTTAATCTAAATTTGGGCTTTTGCGGACGGCCCCACCTAAGCAATAGGCCTATGTTCGCTCCCCACTTGAAACGAGTTCAATATTTTAAAAGCCTGTATGAAGTTTCTTTTCAGCATCTTGGTCAAGCTGCAAGGGTATATGGACTGAATTTGAAATAGCTCATCGAGATGTGCTTCATTTTGGTCATCCTCACTGATTGGTGTTACCATTCCTTTATGTTATACCCGCCAAAATCAAGTTTACTTGGACTCCTATGATTTTTCTTTGTAACTTTGCCCCGTTGTAGATTCTAGCCTAGTGCCCAGTAATTCGGTGCTTTGAGGCAAACGCTTTGGTTTGCTGTGGCAGCGAAGAAAGTTGAAGGGGCAGTGTCAGCAATGGTCTTTTGCACGAAGCCATTTCAGAGAAGAGGCGATGTTACCAAAAGCTCTTCATGCTAACAAAGTCGTTTAAATCTCTCAAAACTGTTGTTTCTGTTGATACAAGAAGTCAAAAATTGGTTTTACTTACCTGGACACGTAAGTTTCTCACCTGGCAGCTGCTCGTTACTATGGTCCTAGATTTCCAACGAGCATAGCAAGAGTACAGAGTACTAAGCTTTCACATTCGCAGTCACACAGGTTCACAGCCATCTGTGGCATAGTGGGAATCCTCATTTCCTGGGGTGGGGCACTGGGGCCTCCGAATGGTGATGCGGATACTCCCACTAATTGCCTTCACAAAAGGTCCAGTGGCTGGTAGTATGTAAACAAAAATATATAAAGTGGACCAATCTTTTTCTTTTCTGCCAGCTATTACTAATAAATACCTCGTGCAATACTCGTGCCTTCATAAAATAAGAATCTAGCATACTTCTTTTCGGTGTCATCCAAATGGCAACTGGAAATCTGGCACTCATTCCATTTCACATGGGTTTCTGATGTAAAGTTTTCAGGTTACAAATACCTTTATACCTTTCCCGTAAGCGTAGGAATGCCAAAACGAAAAATATGTCTACAGTTAAAAGCTTTTATTATAGCATAAGGCATAGCAATTTAAGGGGTGAATACTAACAAAATTACGAATCTGATAATATGGAATGCCGGGTTCGGTTTGACAATAGATATATGTTCGCATCTGATTTGACATCGGAAAGAGCATTAGTAACAAAGATTTGATTCCGGGTTCTTTTGAATGAATCTTCCTTAAATTTAGGTTGATCGGAGATGTATCTTTAAGCTTTAGTTTGGGGGCTGATCTGATGAGCGGTCTCCGAACTGTTGAATAAATTACCTTGATGTCACGTCGGCGGTAATATGCCCTTGTCCTTATCAAGTCACTTGGAATTACTTCCTATTCATCTCGGATTCACCACGGATGCACCTCAAATCCACCTCTGATGTACCATGGGTGCACCATCGATCCACCACGGATGCATCTCGGATTCACCCCAGATGTACTTTAGACACCTTGAAATTGCTTCTTTGCCATCTCGGCAAGGCTGACCTGTAGGCACCTTGGTAGGATCAGGCTGGCAACCTCAACACTGAGCTAGAGACCTTGGCACGGGGTGACCTCCCATTGTGGTTCCACTGACTTGACTGAGGCCCAGTTGGCAACCTACATGATGTGGAGATCAATCTCTGCTATGTGCAACTTACTGTCCCCAAATCCTCTAGGATCACGTTGCCTCATCGATAGAACTGGCTTCTACGCCACCTGCTTCGGAAGTAACTAGATAAATGCACTATGTGAAACTCACGACTATCTACACCTATATAAATGCACCCCCTTCAACCAAGAAAGATGCGCACGATTTAACATTCAGAGCTCTTTTGCTTTCTCGCTTTCTAACTCTTATAGCACACTCACCGCTAACTTGAGCATCAGGAGTGCTCACCCCAAATAAAACACTCCAGGTACTCTGATTATTATCTTCTTACGACTTAACTAGCTGATCTCGTCAATTCGTCAATTCTACCAGCGAGCACCAGGTCACGCTCCGTCACCAATTCACCATCCTTGATAAATTTGTACAAACCCAACCTAATAATTATTATTAAAATTTAATAATGCCCAAAAAGACAAAGAAAGAAAGCTTACTATTTAATATCTGGTCAATGCATAGGGCTATTTTGATTTTAATCTGGTCAATGCAAGTCGAGAAACCAGCTGTCATACGAAGCAAAGAGATTATTGATTATTGGATCTATTTGTTTTGTTCGAAAATCTAACATACTACTATTATACGGTTGAGATGTGTTGTGGGGCGCAAATTGACACGCATTGCATGGAGATGGAACCTCGATGGGTGACGGTTTGTTATCCAGTCAGAAACTGAATTAAAGACACAATCACAGAGCAGAAATGAATCTTTTGATCGATGTATATGGACTTATCCATCGATCACGTCTCTGTGATATTCAAGTTTGTATTCCTTGTTCTAATTTTAATTTGTTCTGCTGGTTCTAGAAGGATTTGGTGGCCCTTGCTTCTTTTTCTCTCTTCTTAATTATTAATATTAGTAGTGATACTTCCTGAATTCTGAGTCCTGATCCTGACCTTAGACAGCAACGAGTAGCTCAACCAATTGATCCCACCCATTCAATTAATCTATCGTTTCATCTAAGATGGAGACGTTTTACCACTCCATTGCCCTTGTTTTTCAATTTCAATTGCAACTCATGCCTTTGTTAAAATATTAATAAAATTGGACGGCCAAGATCATCCACTAAACTTTCTTCATAGTTCATACAAAGCATTTTCCGCATGGGACAATTGGGTCCTTTTTATTATTAATTTTTATGAATTTGATACAGACGTGGCAGCCATATAACGCTTTAGGTTGCTTCATGTCTAAGTTAAATATGTCCAAGTTTAATTGATTAATTAACAGGATTAGTGTAGTCTCTACACCCTACACTCTAGAGATAGGATCTCTACACTAGTTTGGATTACAACATGCGTACTTACCTACCAAGCCCCAATTTCTTCGTACAAACATATTGTTTCTGCTTCTTTTGCTGAATTCAATGTTCATATTTTAATTCAAAGTTAAAATTTAAAGTTTTGAATGCAAAAAATTACAAAGGCATGGAATTTGTGGTGTTAGCGGTCAGAAGTATTCGTTTAGTGGGGACTTAGGAGAGTGATTTGGCCCCCCAGTGACATCATGAAATATGGTAATTCAAAACAGTTAGATACATGATATCTTAGCACCATATAAATAAGTTAGGAAGTGCCAAAGCGCTACAGACATTTTGTACTTGGCCTGACATCCTCAACACCACCTTGGGAAACCAATTGCGAATAGGCACATCAAGTCAGCATGAGAGGCAATCTGCTTCTGTTGATTTAACCTGAGTTCAGCTAGCAACCTGCCTAATATTTTAAGCGACCTCCTTAAGTGGGCAATTGTCTCTGATTTCCTCGGGATCACGATGCCACATTGAAAGAACCGGTTATCACCTCGCTTGCTTTGGGCACAATTAGATAAACACTATCCGCTTACATGAAATCCACCTCTAGACATAAAATCACCTCCAAACTAGACATGCCAAAGATCTCGAATGCGCTTTTCTAAGGAAAGAAACGTCAGGGCAAACAACCTACTCAATCCGGCGTCCGAATTATCTACTAGTAATAAACACCAGATCGCACATCATCAGATAAATTTATATAGAATATTATAGAATGTTCCCTGCGCTAAGAAAAGAATTAAATTTTAATTAATAACCTTGAAGAATTCCAATGGCCATGAATGATTTTGTCTGTCTATGTTTTTGTTTTGTTAATTTACCGAAACTGAACCATCCATCTATGAATATTGAAAATGGGATAAATATGGTCCATCCACTCATACCCAACCAGCTTATTCCTACGGTGGTGTTTTCCTCGATGCCTTGCGATGAACGCAAGATTTTTTCATTCTTTCCCCCTTAAGAATTAAAGATTGGTTCATGCATCAATTCTTTCTGAGTTTCTTTTTCATTTCAGTAAGACCAAGAAAATGATAGTAGCTAACAAGTCCATTTCAATTAATATTTATTGTTTTTCTTCCTTAAGCAGCCAACATCACTAGTATTTATAATATCTTGGGTTATTATTGGACAATTAATCCATTGGTTCATAATAATACATTCCTTGTAAAGTTGCAGTCTCTTCATTTTGAAAAGTAAAAGTAAAAAAGCAATTCTATTCCCCGTATTCAAGTCTATGATATCAGCATATGCATCTGGATCAGTCAATACAACCAACATAGGATTCCTTTCTAGTATATTTACTTTTGTTGCTGAATTAAAATTTAAAAAAATTGGGATTGTTTGGTAAAATTCCATAGAGTAGGTATTTAAGGCAAGGTTGTTGTGGTTTGATTAATTTGTTCACCACCCTTTTATCTTTGACCTTCTCAAACCAAATGAAAATTGAAGAGTTGTGTGAGTATGTGTCACAATAACTTGTAAAACCAGAATGAATGCTTCTGGGTCTCAAGATGTATAGCAAAGAAATCTATTAATTAGCAGACCATGAGTTTCACCTGCTCTACTTTAACTAATAATTTAATACATATATATTATATAAATCACCCAATAAAAATAAGAAAATAAGAACTTGTGTATAAATTGCATTTATTGTGTGATATAGTGCAAGAGAATTTTCATTTTGCACATGTCCTGAATTAAAGAGCTCTTTAAAATGAAATGAAAGAATTGCCCTTTTGGAAATATATGTTCTAGAAGCCTCCTTTATATATCAAGAACAAGTAGTGCACTTCATTAACCATATTTTCTTTTTAATTACTATATTTGTTGGAAGCACATCTAGAACACAGTAAATCAATTAATCTCAAAAAGTCTTTTGTCAGTTTGTCTCCAAAACTTAATTTCTGCAATTGAATGAATGAATACTGTAAAGAGTTTAAACTCTGATGAGGTAGTTGGGCCTCAATTACTGACTGCGAGTCTAATTAGCCTGCTACCATTTTCTTCTTTCTTCTACTTCTTCTTCTTCTTCTTATTATTATTATTTTGGCAGTTTCAACTTTCAACTTCTCTTCTTCCCTCCTGTGAGATATCATCGGGGCCTTAATTCGTACAGGACAGGGTCAAATATAAACAGTCACTTCTTTCTATTTCTTGCTCTCTTCTAATTTGTGTGAAATGGTAAAGCGGGATTCATTAATATGAAGAAGAAATCCAAGATTCATATACTATATATGGTGACACCCTGTTGAGGCTTGCCACGTGGCTAGGGGGAGCTGGCCGGCTGGCTCTGGTCAGCAGCCGCGCGTAAGGCGTAACTCATCAGGATTCAGGATGAAAGACTTCTTTCCGGCCGCGGAAGAAATCAGACAAACCCCAAACGCGTCAAAAGCACTCGAAACTCACCAAAAATATAGAAAGAAGAAGAAGGCTCGGCTCTACGCCTCTACCTCTCCGACTCCGACTAAAAAACAAAAGGCGTTGGCATCATCATCATCTTCTCTTTTAAATTCGTGTGACGTGACGAATGAATATCAAAATGACAAATTCACCCCTGACCTGAGTGGTGTAAAAGTTGGAGCTGACGAGAGATGATGGGTGATGGGGTCGGGTCATAGCATACCTACCATGGCTTTGACATCCAACAGTTTCAGCAGGGTATTGCGGCTGAAACAACGGTGTGGAAGCTTCTGCGTTTATAGACGGGCGGACTCGGACTCGGACTCACCTACTCACCTACACACTACACACTACCCACGCACACGTATACGCACACGCGACACGCGCACCTTTAATCTATTCACTATTATATCCCCATTATTCTGTAATCCATACCACCTGAGATATTTTTAATAAACTCAAAAAAAAAAAAAAAAAGTCAATTAGGTCGATGACCACAGCCCCTTTTGGTTTTGATGGTTGTGATGGGTTTTAGTCTTGACTGTTTGAGGGGTCGGTTAGCAATCACCTTCAATTGCTAAAACTCGAGAGGACCCATTTGATGATATATTTTTTTTTTCTATAAAACGTTATTTAATAATATAAATAGTTGAGGGATGAGGGGTTCTTTATTTATTTATTCATACATGGTTTCCACAAAATAGGCCAAGCCAACTGAGGGGGTCAATAAGTTCTAGAAGCTCTTCGGCCTTAGCCAAAAGTCTCATCCCTCATCCAATTCCGATCCTCCAAAGTAATAATTTCTTCTTTGTTGCTTATGCAGCAGTTTCAGACCAAAATACAAACTACATATAAAATTCTTCGTCTTACACTTTTAACTTTTTATGGTGTGGACGTGAAGCCAAGTATTAACATTATATGGTAAAAGATAATTTATGAATTCGTTTTCTAAAATACAGGATTCGGAGGGAAACATTGAAGAATTAAAGTAGGACGGGCAAAATGAAAAAATACATTTGAAATTTTATATATGTGTTAGTTTAAAAAGAAATTTCTATAAAATAATTACATTGTAAGACTATGCTATGTTGTATTAGAGCAAGAGTACTGAGTAGTAAAGAAACTATATATCTAAAAAATTGAACGTAATAAACATATGTATGCTAAGATGAATATGTGAAACCAAGGATTTTAAAATCGAACCTGACAACGAATCAGTAAGGGGTCTGGTTCCTGGGACGATCAGTTCAACCGTTCGAATCGAACAGATGACCCGTTTTGACAAAAAAAATAAAAAATTAAAAAGAAAGTAAAAATTGATCAAACCGTTGAATAGTTCAAACAGTTGAATCAACGATTTACTGATCAAATCAATAGTTTTTGGGGAAATAATGATTATGGGGTAAAACGGGTGATCGGTTCCTGATTTTTCCGGGCCCATCTGATTTTTGAAAACCCTGTGTGAAACAACTAAAAATGTTAGGATCATAAATAGAAATATTTATAAGAAATTAGGAATGATTCCAATAGATTATGAAATAAGAAAAAATAGACTAAAGATGATCTGATCATTTTCATAGAAAATCAAAATCTAGAAAGACTTATGGGTAGACTGTAAAGCAAAAGAGATGTGAATAGAGATAAATAAAATTCATGTAAAGCAAAAGGATAAGGCTTGGATGATGCATGAATAAGATGTAAGATTACATAGAAAGAAGAAGAGAAGCAACTCTCTCTATTCAGACGTGTTCACTCCGTCCCCCATATAACCGGGATATTTATGGGATAGCTCAAACAAACAAGCCGTTTTCAAATTGTTTTCTCATTTTCTTGGAAAAGAAAGTCTATGAAGTTGTTTTTCCTATTAAAACTTGGACGAATCATCAAGATGGAACGCTGCTTGGAAATTACAAGCAGTGGTTTGAGGGGGAGCGGAGAGGTTCTACAAGGTCAAAGGGCAGCAACGTAATTTGGTCATATAAACCTACCGAACCATGGAAAAGGCTTACGAGTTACGACTCGCCTTCAGGAAGATTTATATATACATGCCAAATGACCAAATAATAAGTCTCCAACGAGATTTCCTTCCCATTTCCATGTCGCGGAGGAAAGAACTTTGAACAGAAAAAACAAATTATATATACCCACAGAGCGAGCGAGAGAGAGAGAGAGAGACACAGGGACCGAACAGAAGTGGAGATCATACACAAAGCTTTTCTCTCTTTCTCTGTGTAAGGGACAGAGAGAACAGAGAGTGGTTGGTCGGTCATTGGATTATTCGTACTCAATCTCGGCTTCATCTCTTCTAGTTCTTCTATTTTGATTGGTCTGCAATCGATTGCTTCTTCATCGATTCTGGGTTTGAAGTTTTGCCGACAAATAAAATGACCAAGAAGATAACGTGGAAATCCTTCGTTCCCGGTTGCTACAGGGCGGAGATCCCGCCGGAAGAACCCAAGAAGAGAATTAAGAAGCAAACTTCTTCTTCGTGGATATCGTTGACAGACATAAACAACCCGGGTTCACCACTGTCGGCCGATGATATCTCGAATTCTGTCATCGGCTCCAACCTCCATGCGTTTATGCTGGCAGAGCTGAGGGTGATCACGCAGAGCTTCTCGTCAAGCAATATCCTGGGCGAGGGCGGGTTCGGCCCAGTTCACAAGGGGTTCATCGATGACAAGCTCAGACCTGGGTTGAAGGCGCAGGCTGTGGCCGTTAAGCTCTTGGACTTGGAGGGCTTGCAAGGACACCGGGAGTGGCTGGTGAGAATTTACACCAACTGCGCTTGATTTCTCTTCATCAATATTCAATCTGATATATGGCAATTAAGACTGATTAGCTAGATGAACCCAACTGGTTGGGTTAAGCCTTCTCCGAATAGATTGATTGGTCGATTCTCTGGTGCTGCTGCATCTTTGCGTTAATTGCTAAATGGACTTTTATGTATTGATTTGCAGGCTGAAGTTATATTTCTTGGGCAATTGAGGCACCCCAATCTCGTGAAGTTGATCGGATACTGCTGTGAGGACGAGCACCGACTTCTTGTATACGAATACATGGTGCGAGGAAGCCTAGAGAATCAACTCTTCAGAAGTACGTCTGTTCTCCCTTTCTGTAACATCGTTGGATTTGTGTATATAAGCAAAATATTTTTGACTTAGTAACCATTATCAATTATTGTTTTCTAGCTATCTTTAGACAATGAAGGATTATGTCTAATGAATCTCTTCTCTGGGAAATGCAGGATATTCTGCTTCGTTGCCATGGTCAACCAGAATTAAAATTGCGCTGGGAGCTGCCAAGGGTCTCCAATTTCTGCATGAAGCGGAGAAACCTGTAATATACCGGGATTTCAAAGCTTCCAATATATTGTTAGACTCGGTATGTTCTTCTCATTCACTGTCAGTTAGTCTACAGGCTTGAACTAATGGCCTATATATTGATCTCTCTGAGTCTCTCTATATATAGCTAACTTTCCTCTGGTCCATTTTTCTTACAGGATTACACAGCTAAGCTCTCAGATTTCGGGCTAGCCAAGGACGGTCCTGAAGGGGATGAAACTCATGTCTCAACCCGTGTTATGGGCACCCAAGGCTACGCAGCTCCCGAGTACGTCATGACTGGTAATTATAGCCTTACCCTTTTACTTCTCTATATATCAGGAAACAAGTTGCAATGTTTAATGAAATTGAGCAAAACCCACTAACAGTTTGATATTTTTGTGGCTAAATTTTCAGGTCATTTGACAAAAATGAGTGACGTATACAGCTTCGGAGTGGTGTTCCTAGAGATGCTGACGGGAAGACGATCCATGGACAAGAACCGTGGCCCTAGAGAACAGAACCTTGTAGAGTGGGCAAGGCCACTATTGAATGATAGTCGCAAACTAGAGCGGATAATGGACCCAAAGCTGGAAGGGCAGTACTCGAACAAGGGAGCTCAGAAGGCAGCCGCATTGGCTTACCAATGCTTGAGTCACAACCCAAAGTCCAGACCCACAATGGGCATCGTGGTTAAGACCTTGGAGCTTATACAAACCTATAACAACGACATCCCCATTGGACCGTTCGTGTATATAGCTCCAAGTGAAAACCCCAAGGAAGGTGATGTCAAAGTGGGTAAGAAGGAGGAGGAAAAGGAAGCAGACAAGAAGAAAGAGAATGACCACCACCACCACCAGCGTGCAAAGGAGGATAGAAAGGAAGGTGAAGCAAACAAGGAGGAAAAAGACGAAAACAAGAAAGGCAATGGACGTCGCCACCACCGTGGCCACCGACATCGCATAAGGACACCAAGATCTCCGGCTGTCTATTCTGATATTACATTATATAAGAATTTTGGTAGTGGCTTGAATTCCCCAAAAGCAGTACAGAAGCAAGGGGAAGTAGCTTTGTAGATTTGTAAATCATAAATCACACTGTTGACTGTACAGAGATTTTACTTCCGAGTTTCAAGGAAGTGATGGAGCTTGTGTAAACGGAGCGAGCCATCTGGGGTTTCTTTTTTATCTTTAATCATCATCAGTGAATGTCAAGTAAGGTTATAACTTATAAAGAGGTCCATAAAGGTCTATATTGTTGTGAGGACGGACCTCTTGGTCATTTTAGAAATTCTTTCAATACTTGGAAAATTCAATCCTCTCTCAGTCTCAATTATCAAATAGAAAGGGTTAAGCATTCAAAATATAAAATTCATGGAAAGCCCAAAAAAGGGCTCGAGGCAAGATTATAATTAATTATACAATTGAAGAAGCCACTGCCTGGAAAGTGGAAAGGTCGGTCCTGTGTTACCAGAGAAGAAACCTCTTTTCTTTCTTTCTTTGAATCATGTCTAACACCAACCAATAGGTGTTTATTTTTTACCTGATCTTAGTAAAATAATAAGATGAGATTAGCAAAGAATAGCACAGACAGCGATAGTTTAAGAGCTAATTGAGGTTGATAGTCTTATTGTTAATAAATCAAACCCCCATCATACAGAAGAGTTCACATCTCCGCCCTACAACGTCCCACAGTACATTCGGGCTGTGTATTGGGAACATCTCCTGATAATGATCTCTTCAGGGAGATATTTCCAATATACAGCGGGAATGCTCTATAAGACATTGTGGAGCGGTCCCTTGTGGGGCTGAGATGTATACTCCATCCAGAAACGATCCAACAATATGTATATATCCTAGTCTCCAACATTATTATTTTCAGCAACAACTTGAAAGGAGCAGTTCAGCCAATAATCATGTACACGGTTCCCATTTATTCATTCATTCATTCAATTCCAGTAAACTGTACATTTACGGAAGGTACTGGTTTACATAGGCCACAAATTTCTGTAACACCACAAAAGATATCAACTGAAAAATAACTATAACCATTGGATGTGTTAAAAGCATAAAATTGCGAGTTCAGATCTGCGCCACACAATGTCTCACAGCACATCCCCACTGTGTATTGGGAACATCTCCCAATGACCCCCCCCCCTGTGGGGCGCAGATGTGAACTCCAAAATTGGAAGCTCAAAACCTTAGATTGCAGACACAGGGTGTCATCATCTCAATTGTTAATCTAATTAACAAGAATAGGCACTGCAAGAGAGATATATAGAAGTTGGATTATGTCACATAACAATAAACTTGTTTGAAAAAATTGAATTCTAATCCTATTTAATGATTAAAGCTTGAGGTTTGACAAAGAAACAACCACCTAATTAAGTAACTTGATCAAAGTCAGAATTCAAGCATTATCATCATACAGAAACTTGGCAACTTGAACAAGATGAAGAAAGGAACACCAACCCCTCACCAACCCTCGCATTTAGATAAATTGTCTGCCCAATAATCTGTGTAGTGAGCAAATCCCCCTTCTCTTGGTCTTTGTTTCTTCTTGTTTTCTTTCTTCTATACAGTGGGCGCCATAAGAATTTATCCAGAAGGTTGTCAAGCTTTATATTCAGCTGTAGGAATTTTAAACTATATGGCAATATCTTTAATAATTTATATATGGAGGTAGTAACTTAGAGGAGAATATAATCAAATCATCAACACAAACAATGAGGAATGCATCTCTCAGTTCTCACGCGATTCAACTAAATATTTTATTAGATATGCAGTTCCATGTGATTGCAAAATGATATTTGACATCTCGAAGACTTCCCAAGATTGGATAAAACCTGATACAGTTACTGAGCCCATGGATGAGTTTTGATTAGGTAGATAAGTATGATGAGATCTTTCCTTTTTTAAAAATTACTTATCCCATTCCATTGACGTTTATGCAAAAATATACGAATAGAAGAATCAATTGGCCGGATCAAGGTTTTGAGAATGACGTGGTATTGTGGTGTGTATGCCATAAATCTGGAATTAAACTAAGAATATAAAGGTACGTTTGGTTCGCAGCCAGAATCAGAATTGAAATTGAAACCGAAATCCTTCAAAATTAGAATCAGAATGGCCTATTCCCATTATCTGTTTGATTCAGATTGGAATCAAAATGGGAATTGGAGTAAGCTGGAATGGAAATTTTCCAAGAAAGGAGGAGGGAATGGCCATTCGACCAGGAATGGCATCCCATTTCCAATTCCAAACCCCTGTTCCTTTGAACCAAATGGGACCTAAACTAAGAGTGTCTCAATTTTGCAAGACAAGGCATAGATTGGAATATCATCAAAATGGGAATAATGATATATAGAAAACAGGGTTAGGCAACGTGTGGTGGATATCTCTCTGGTTTCAAGTCTCCAGTCTCCAGATGGGTTGCCACCCTGATCAATGTTTTGTATTTGGCTGAGCTGAAGAAACGAGGAAGGTAGAATAGAAAGATAATACTGGACTATTCTATTGGGCCTTCACTCTTGAGTTGACGATTTATCGATTAATATGCAATGTTGCACGACGGGAGCATGTGGGGGCCTTGAGTGATTCATTCTTCAATTTAAGCATTAGACCCCCATTGTATTATGACAGAATCAGAATTCATGGAACCAACAGACAGCATTATTGTTCAGTTGCTCCTTGTTGGTTACTTCTTGGGGGCCATGACACTTCATAATTCAAGGACAGCCAACCAAAGGGTCATGGCATCACAGAACAAAGTGAACAACCACATTTTTTTATTTTTTATTCCTTATTGGATTCACCAAATAGGAGACAACCTAACCATAATTCTTGGGGAATCCACGCCTCCAAAACAGTGAACCACCTTGATTGTTGAGAAGTTGGGGGACTACCTCTCTGATTAGGGCATGCAGTTCAGAAACATAATCATGATTAAGAGATTATCTTATTGTTCGGAACAATAAGGGAGTGTACTTCTCTAGACCGATCCCCAGCCTGGATCTTTGAACTTTGCATTTCTCACCTCCGTGTGTAAGAATTGACACTGAAGTTGTTCAGTTTTTTTTTTTGTTACTAGACAGTGAAGCCGTTGTAGATAAAAACCGCGTAAATACAAAAAAATTTGAAGTTGCAGACTTGCAGCTTGCCAGCTTTACCAAGGGCCCTGGTTTTTTTTTATAAGTCCATGGATTTTTGGATTCCATTTTACATTGTTCCCCTACCACGCATATTCCAATGAAGGTTCAGTCTTGGTGGTCATTATTATTTTTTTGGGGGGTTTTGCACAATCAATTTCCATGCAGTTTTTATCTTGAACAAGCATGATAGGGTAACTTGGAGATAAACTATAATAAACAATGCATACGTCCCTCTCATATAGATCTGACAGAGAGATCGGTTGGGTTCCAAATATAGAAACCGTTTTGAGGCCTTGAAGGGATTAACCTCAATGGGTTACTTCATATTCGAATGCTGTGTCAATAACTGAGAATTTGTCATGTAAAATTGCAGTGGAAGTTGGTGGTACAAAGCTTCTAGAGCAACGTACTGATAGTTTGGTACCACTCATGGATGATAGACTCTTATCTAATATGAAGATGTTAGCTTTTATTCCTCAAAAGACAATATTCTCATAATTCAAATAGCAATATTAACTAAAAGATCAGGTTAAGACTTGAGAAAAATTTCCTGGCTCATGAAATGGCCAATATTTACTCCATCCCATCAATGTTGACAGACGGGCGTCCTTGTGATGAATTATTCAATTGGATGTCAATGGTCTAGATGGATAATCAATAAAGGTAGCTAGCCAAGAAGGATGATCTGGATCAAAGACAAGATGCCAGAATATTATTGTAAATCTTCTTGCAAAACCTTCAGGTATAGTACGCTAAGAGAAAAGAAGAATTGAGGCCTTCAACTTCCATGAAATCATTCCAATCATGGGACAAATGTCCAGCACCCAACAAATTATTTTTATCAAGTTGGGAGTCCGTTAATATGCATCTTACAATTGCTGTTTTATCCTGATACCAGCTCAGAAATATCAAAGGCAAAACTTCAATGGTATAAGCATCGTTTGTTCAATGATATTCTCATACATTTCTGTGAAGAAAACAGAGCAAGTACATAGTAAATCAGTTATCCTCATTAGTTTACCAAAATAACAACTCATTTTGGGTTACTAGAAAGACTATTACCTTACTAGGGTTAATCAATACCAGGTTTCATCAATGCTGGATATGTCAATTCGGACAGGATGACTTCTGTTTATCCTCTATCCATGATTTGGGTATTCTTCTTCTTCTTCCTAGGTGCAGTATTACAAGACAAGTGTTTAAGGCACATACCTGCAAGCCTGGTCTTTGTAAGCTCTGGATCTAGATATATGACCAGAAATTGTATCTTTTTATCTTCTCTTTAGTGTTTCCTTGAAAGGCCTTGGGTTTCCAGATCTGGAATCATTTCGGTCTTCCAGCCAATCTACATGGTACTTGTCTTCATATGGAACAACCTTTCCATCAATGAATGGTTCTCCTGTGGAAATAATAAATTAAGTGGTAAAAGAAGAGAGGTAGTGGCAATAGGACAAGTAATGAAGGAAGCTAGGGATTTCATAAGAAACCATGAAAAGTTGTATTTCTACCCATGTGTCAAAACAGGCTCATGGCTGTGTGCCATGATATGGTGAAGATGGCCACAGCCGCATAGCAACTCAGCCTACTCTAACCATTACTGTGAATGAAATACCTACTTCAGAAGACTAGTTCTATCAGCAAAGAAATGCTCATATCTAAGCACATTTTTTTATGGGAACTCATATCTAAGCACATTACCATAGAGAAATGTGAATCAAGCTGATTTGTTGCATAAATATAAAATGATAATGTGAGACATTAGAACATGGGTTGAAATCTGAGAGTAAGCACTTTATGCAGAAGAAAAAAAAAATCCAAAGATTAGGTCCATATCCAGCTTACCTCTCCCAAGACCCTAGAGTGCCAGAATCACCATTTAGTAATGGCCCTTTTAAAAATACATTATCATTTTCTGATTTTTCTTTGAATAGGTAGAACTTTTGTCACTAATGCCAAAATAAGAAAACAAAGGAAGAATCCAGAGTCTGGAAGCATACGGGGAAAACCTTAACTGCAAAGGAAAAACACAAAGTATGTCTGATATTTTCAGCTTATTCATCATTTCTCACAAGCAAAATACATTGTAATTTTCTGATATTTTTTCCAATAGATAGAACTTTGATGCTAATTCCAAAATTAGAAGATAAAGGCAGAATTCAGGGACTGGACATGGAGGAAGACTGCAAACCACATTATGCCAAGAAACATTGCTTTTAATGTTTAGCGCAGAATTAAAAATGCCCCTTTCTAATTCCCTGTGAAGAACAGAAGTACTAGGAGGTAATTCAATACCAAGGAATGAATTGGATAAGTCATTCTAAGTTCCAGCAAAATAATGTATAATGCTCAAATAAAAAATTAGCTATTTATTCCCAAATTGTATGAGCCTCTAGGGATATTTAGTCATCATGAAAATATAGGAAATAATATTAGAAGATTCATGTTTCAAAAATAACAAGCCTGGGAAATTTGTGCAAAAGACCCTCAGAGCCTACCATCATCATTGGTTCTGCTTCACTGCATTCTTAAACCTATGGAAATAACATGAACTTAAAGAATCATCCATAATCACTGCACCAGCACTGACCAGCTTTATTACCAGAATGCTGCATTTTGAACTTCAATATTTTCCTGCCCCCAAAATATCTCCTAATGAATCCATTAAAAAAATATATACTAACGATCAAACTACCTGCCCACTTACACATATGATATTGTTCTAATATTGTCATTTGTTCCCACCTCTCTCTCTCTCTCTTTCTCTCATTCTAACAGACTTCACTGATAGAACAAGCTGGCATATTTAGATAAAAACATAAATTCCAACAGGAACTGAACCCAGAAGTCTTGTATCCATACTCATTAGATGAGTAAACCAGAAACCTTGTAACAATTTGATTTCTCTCTCTTTTCAGTTGAGTATGCAGATGAGTAAACCAGATTCTACCCCCCCAAAACCACACACACAGTATCTCAGAAATTTGGTTGAAATTACGCTTACAAAAGCCCTCAAGCAGTTCCAAAACTTTAGATACTCTTGCTTCTGTAATCAATGGCAACAGATTCATATTTGACGATGACTCTGATATGATCTTCGGGTATAGTAAATATCCCATTTTTTTTCATAAAGCACTGATATTAGAGGGGCCCTCTCCATCCAGTTAATACAATGATATTTTACCTTTCAAAAAAATATGCCTATAATGTTAACTAATCCTATAAGGAAAACAATCCATACCCATATAGTGCAGCCTAAATCTCCATATACATCACAAATTATCAATGTAATTGGTGAAGAACAAAAAGAATATAATATATACAAGTAAATAAAAACAAAACAATTACCAAGGACACTGAATGAAAGTGAGAGTTGAAAAAGCACCTCCATAATCATTCTCACTGGCATATAAATAAGAATCAGGTAGAACCCACCTCACATTTGGCAAGGCTGTGAAAATCAAGGTGTAAGTACAAAATGCGAATGAAAAGAGCAGGAAAACGATGATAAATGGATGGCATCTTACAGTTGAGCTTGTTAATAAATTTCTGGGAAAGTTTGCACCCAAAGGCATAGTAATACTTGGTCGAAACTGAATAAATAGACTTCTTTGCTTCCTCTGTACTGCAATAGAAATCAAAAAAAGATCAGCATAGTGCAAAGATGAAGAACAAAAAGAAGAAAAATTAAGACTATTTACAAAAACACGGGATAAAACTCCAAACAGAAAATTTAAGCATCAAGAAGAGGAGAAACTACCTACACAAGAGAAGACTCGATATGTTGGACCTAGTGAGTCAGGTTGGTCTAATACAGTAGTTCAATAATAAATAACAATAACAATTCTACTTCCTCCTCCTTACCTTCCCAAGGCCATGGATAGAGTTTTGATGTATATGTCAATGATGTCATCTCGAAGTGGGTTCCCCTTGGGAGGCTCCATAACAACAAGCCAATGCTCATAATCACAGCCTTGGATGAATGTTTGCTTCCTGGTTGACTCAGTGGCATTACCCGAGAAGCATCTAAAATTGGAAGAAGGTGAGAATGGCCAACGAAGAGGAAAAATAACAGAAGTTGAAACCAATGGCATGTAACGGCAACACAGCAACGGAATGAAAGAAGAACTCGGCATTGAACTGTGGGGCACAGGAAGATATTTTGTAGATGCTGGAAACGGTTGATCACCAACTTGCAACTGATTTGCATGGAGTTTGGTAAGTCTAAAGCCCGATCTCTGAAAAGCAAAAAAAGACCTGTGAATGCAATTGGGCTTTGAATATCTGAATTTTTTTGATAGATTGTATATCTTAATGTTAATACCTCTGAAAATAATCTATATTACAAATTTACCTCTTGGAATGCATTTTCTTGGTAAATTAAAATGTTGTAACATATGTTTCCATTAAAATGTTGTAACATCTGTTTCTATTCAACCTACCTGAAGCTCAAATCTGTCTAAGTCATCATACAAAATCCTTCGTATTTTTCATGGACCATGGAATTCCCAAATGAACTACATCTCTAAGAAATGAACATAAAACTGGCATCAGACATTGAATGAGTGTGTTGAGTTGGTCCGAGTTGTTTTTTATTTAGTTAGGAAGTTGTTGGGCTTTAGGCCCATTAGTTTATGCTTTTTTAAWTTGTGACTGTTCAGCTATATTAGTAGCCGCCCTACTAAGGGCATCCTTGTAATATCTCATCATTTAAGTTAAGTAAAAATATAATGAGAGGTAGGCGGCTAGGGTTAATTTTACAATCCTGGTTGACTTCCTACTCTTTTCTTCTTCTCCTTTCTTCTCTACTGCTGAAATCTTCATCTTCCCCCTCTTTCCTTTCACAAGAAACTCGACTAAATCTGCAATTAGTGATTTCTACTGAGTGCATGCAGTATTGCGGTGAAATTTGGGTCAAGTTGATGCCAAGTTACTAACATCTGGCATTTAATGAGTGCATCTGGTCCAATTTAATTCAAGTTGAAATGCCCAATTGAACCTGGGATGAGAATTCTCGAGTCTATTTGTTGTATATAGATCAGAAATTGCATACATAGTTTTCTAATGTAAAAGACCAAATATCCCCAGATTTCAGAAAACATTAAGGAAAAGAAAAGGAGAAATCAAGGCAAACTTACTCTAATCAGTTCGGCAATTTGAGACTGTGATTCTCTTAGCATGTCCTTTTTCCTTCTTGAGCTATATTCAGGAAAATTAAGGTGGAATAAATACAAAAATCTACCTCAACTTTGCAACCTCGAACTCAAATTCCTAAGCTTTAGTCGAGAAAGAACTCGATCAACTCCACAGACGTCTTCGGTGGGACAGGAGGCTAAGAAAAGAACAAAATCGGACATGTATAGGAAATGTGGAAGAGAGACAGAGATTTAACATTTGCAAAGAAGAAGGGAGCAGAGAGAAACCTGTACAATCAATAGATGGAACAATCGAACTCCAGTCGTCGTCTACTCCCTACTACTCTTTCGAGCTTCAATTTCGAACCTAACCCTCACGAGTCACAGGTCACGATCCTCTGGCCCGACTCTCAAGCCTCCGGTTTGCTACCCTCAAGGCCTTAACCCAACGCCCCAACACACCCTAACCCTTTCTCCTTTGTTTCTTATTTTATGTTTACCTGAAAATGGCTTGAATCAATAGTGTCCGCTTCTTTTTTCTTCTTCACTTTATGTTACGGTGGGTACTCTGTTTTGAGATCTCACTTCTCACCTGAAAAGAAAAAAAAAAATAGAATGAAGAACAGAAGAAATTAATTAGTAACATGAACCATGCATATGGATGCATACAACCCAACAATAGAAAGATAAGAAATCAATAAGTAATGATGGATGCAATACCAAAAATGGCGTTGAACACTTAATAAAGAGAGACGTATGCTGAAAAAAATACAAGACAAACATAATCTTAGCAGGCTAGCAGTAAGGTCTTTGGGACTTGGGAGGCGTAATGGCACTGGTAGGTCACATGGACTGGACGGCTAAGTATCTTTGCACAGGAAAGAGGAAAAAACTCACCTTGGTCGCCTGTCAAGAGACTCAAACCTCAATCTTCAACAAGTCTTCAATGGAGGACTAGAGAAGTTGAGGAGAGGAGCCGTTCCTAACCGAAGATTGAAGGAGGGAAAATAGCAAATCACAACGAAAGAAAATCTATTCCATTCGATTACTGATTACCGTCATCGGAGTTCTTAAATTTTTTTTACCATTTTTACCCCCCGCTAAAAATGAAATTCAAGGCCAGAACGTTCAAACGGTTAAGGCTACCGCCGAGGACTTGATGAAACATCAGGACCAACAACAACTCAACAGAATTGAATTGGAACTTGCCACTAAGGTTTAACCACGAAATTGTTTCTTTTGCTATATTATTGTAACTGATTTATTACTTCCATTATACAGGGATTCTGTTGCTGCGTAGGATAAGGCCAAGGGTGAAAAGGTAATTTTGCTAAAGAGCAAGAAGAGAACATATGTTAGAGGTCCCGGGTGTAATTCAAGGGTGGTAATTTTGATGGTCAAGTTAGGCAAAGCACCTTGAGAAGGGTCAGATTAAGATTGAGACAAGGAATCAAGCGAGGTCACTCAAGAGTAGAAAAGCTAAAGAACAAGAATGAAGAAGATAGATTTACCTTGAAACTAAGCACCCCCTTTATACCTGACCCTGCGATGGAGTGAGTGGAGGCGGTTAGAGGTGGATGGCCAGGATCTCATTCGGCCGATGCCATGTGGCGCCACCCAGTAAGCTGCCATATGCTCCTATATCAGATTCATTGTTTATATTTTTAGTTGATAACTTCACAAGTTTTAAGCATCAAACCTGAATTATTAGTTGTTACATTTCAAGGCTAACATCCTTTATTTTTGTTATATAGATAATCAGTAAAAGCTAGATGCACATTTGCATACAAGGTAGGAAGAAGTCCTCTTGCAACAGGATTACTGGAATCTATGTTATACTTCCTTAGTATTTTCTTTCTTAATAATTTGTAATTTGCGTCATGTTAGTATTATTTTCCAGTATTTTTCTGAATCTTATTATTTTCCTATCTTCACAGATTTCTAGGGATGGTTCTCAAAGAGTTATGATATAATATCAGCAGATTCTAAAGTTTGCATATTTGATGGAGTTGAAGTCAGTCATGAATATAGAGGTAAACATGATTTCTTGATTAACCTCTCCAGTTATATGATCTATATACATGAGCTGAGAAAGCATTAGATCAGCATGTGTTATTTCCATCCAATTATATGATCTTGTACTTTCTTCTCTGTGATTATTTGGATGGAATGGGAGGCATTTTTTCCGCATTATGTTTTTTTTTTTTTTTTTTCTGCCTATGGTCTTTAAATCCTTTTCCTTGTTGAAGCATAATGCATTGTGAGACTGTCTTATATAATCCTCTTATTTTCCAGAACTGTAGATGCCTTTGAAGAACAAATAAGTTCTGCAGTGCAGAACACTATTACCAAAAAAATTAAAGAAGGGATTTTGAAGCTTTATTGAATACTCTTCCCAAAGAAATACAAGTGGATGAGATCGCTGCTTTGAATGTCACATTTGCTAATGATCCTTTGTTGAGTAATTCATCCATTGAATTTGAGATTGATGGAGTGTTCATGGCAGCAGTCGAGGTTGTAAATCCCAGCTATTACCATAATAAGAATTCAAAAACTTCAGCTTCCTGCAAATATCCCCCTAAGATGCTTGAGATTTCATTGGATGAAGCAGTATTTAATTCTACATCACACGTATACTTCAATGTAAGTCCAGAATCGGAATCTCCTGACGTTTGCCCGTTTGGTTGGGTGGAAACGGAATCCGATTTCCATTCCGGGCGGAATGGCAAATTGGCAATCCCCCATTTGAGGGAATGGCCATTCCTGACCCCCCCGGAATCGGAATCCCATTCCCGCTATTTAATATAGAAAAAAACCAAAATGACAAAAGAAACTCCTCAAACCTCTCCCTACCCGATTCCAACTTTCTAACCCTCATTCCCCTTTCTCTTTCGTCACTCCCTCCTTCGGCAGTTGATGTTCCAAGTATTCATCTGAACTTAAACTCCGACAACGGTGACGATGAGGTAAATCACCATCAATTTTTTTTCTCTCCTCTTTCCTATTCTTCTTCCTCTCCTCTCTCTCACTATTTTTTTCAGTCCTCCCCAGTTTTTCCGCTGTAGACCGGACCAAACCACAGGAAGGTATGTTATCTTCGATTTTCCTTTCTAGCAAAGTATTTGTTATATAGATCTTTAGTATAAGGTCTGAAATGCATGCTAAATTTAGTTGTTTATACTTGACCTCGAAATGAATGTTAAATTTAGCAGCTCTTCTTTCAAATATTAAACGTGTTTTAATTTTTTCCCCAATTTCAGTTTGCAATGCATCCTTATGTGAGTAGAGTTATTTGGTCATTAGTTCTGTATGGTGGTTGAATTTTTCCATGTTTATTTTATTGTTTACCTGATTCAGCTCTATCTTTGTAGCTAATAAGTCTGAAAGATCTCTATCAAGTTCATAAGAGTACAATAACATTCTAATCTAATTTCAAATTAGATAGCAGTCTGATTAAACATGAATAGTGACAATTAATTAAGGGATTTTAGAGTTACAAGCAAGCAACCACTTTATCCCGATTTCTATCTAGATTGGTTAATAGGTTCTGTGTTATGTTTATTCATATTTAACAGTAGCAGCTGAGATGTGGCTCAAATGAGTCCACACATTTCTCTTTTCTTTTTTCTTTTCGTGGGATGAGTTTCAGTCCAATGTCTTGCTGTCTTGCTGACCAACAGAATTTGTCATTATCTCACCCTTCTATTTCTTGAAATTCAAGACAAGCTAGCTCAATAATCTTACATATTGAGCTGCAAACAATTTTTAATTTTAAGGTATTTAGATATATTGATTGATTCAAGACAAGCCCAACTCTAAGATATATCTAGCAGTCAGCCCAATAATAGACTGCAAGCAAATGAAAATTATTCATAATATACCTAAGGTATTTAGATAAATTAGAAAAACAGAAACAAATCAACACCCACTTGACAACCTATAGAACTTTTAATAAACTAAAACAGATAAAAATAGAACTCCCTATTCATTCCTAAACACCTAAAGTTCTTTTAAAAGGCAACTTGTAACTTGCAAAAAAACGTACTACAGTAGCTACCTTTTTCTTCTTGCATCACTTTTCTCTTTACATCCATAAGTACCTAAAAAGCAAAAGCTTGTTCTTGGATTGTATTTGACACACCTAAAATAAAATTATTCATAATGTCTGTAATTGTATTTGACACAGACGACATATCAGTTAAAAAGCAATTGAGGTTTGGCTTTCTGTGCGGACATTTATGATAATGTTGTAAGTGATGGCATTTTGGGTGCATTTAAGGTCTTTCATGGACTGAAAGTAGACAAGGGCTTCATTAATTTCCTCTGTCTTCACTAGCGCATCAAGAATGCAGTTCCATGTGTACACATTAGGTGTCAATCCCTTGTGGATCAACTCTTCCATGATAAGATATGCCTCATCTATTCTACCAACCTTTCCAAAGCCATCAATAAGACTGCTATACCTTACTACATTTATGCCTACTCTTTATTTTGCTTCTTCAAAGAGCATGTATGCTTCATCAAGCCTATCAATCTTGGAAAGCCCATGAATGACTGATCCATATGTAACCACTATGGGTTGGTAATCCTTTGTCTTCAATTCCTCCAGAAGCCGGTAACCATTCTCTCAAACAATTTGTAAGCATCATCAACCTTACCTTGCCTACCCAAACCATCTATCACAGAACAATGGTTGAGTTTAGGCAGTCTGGATCTTCATCTCACAATGGGTATTTTATGTTTCTCTCTTTCTGGAAAGCATACATATTGAGAGAACTTTGATTTTTTAAGTTTTTCCATTTATTAGTATGAATTTATCTTTTATATTTGATTGTGGTCAACATAACTCTTTAGTATCTATCTCTGGGTCTGAGGGGAAGGCCATTATAGTGTTATGGCTGGTATTTGCCATGTATTTAAAGCTAGTTATTGTAACTGACTTTGTTATGCCTGACTGCCTTCTAAAGCAACCTCCATGATTTAATTGAGAAACTCTGAAGGTGAAAGCTCAAGTTGAATGGGATCAAGACAGTTGTCTTTGGAGACTGCAGTCTTTGAGGCTTCAAGTTCCCTGTGGAATCAGTCTCAGGTGGTGAACTCTAATCCCAATGAATTGTTTGGGTGCACCATTCAAGGTCTAGGCCAACCTATAGGAAATAACCTTGCCAATCAGATAAGATGTATCTGTAATTTATTAAACCAGCACTGGAACTGGAAGCATTATGTTAATAATTCCTTTTTTTTTTCATCAGGCAGATTTTGTACACTAGATTATGGACAAAGTGCCAGACCAGTATCTTTTAAACACTGCTGACTGGGAATACATTGTTCCTCAACTGTACAAGGAGTACCCAAATGATGGCATGAATCTGAATATTTTTGTATCTTCTCCCCCGGTACAAGGAGTACCCAAATTTTTTATGAACCATTTGCCAAGAAAGGCATGGATCAAGTAGTATGTCTGGAAGAAATGTATCACTGAGATGGAACCAATTAAAAGTATATGTGATCTTTCTCACAGATGAATGGTCCAAACAGCGAAGAGGAAATCGGGTCATTCTTAACCCACCTCGAAAATCAGATGTCTTGGCAATTAAGAAAATGGGAAGTTAACAAATATCCAAGGTACAGTGAATATAGATCGGATTTCTCGTCTGCTACATTAATAAAAAAATGGAAGACATGAGATGCTCCAGTTCCCTTCTAAGTGGTAATACAGTGGTTTAAAAAAAAAATGCTTGGAAACCAAATGAAAAGATTTATTTCATTCCCATTTAGTTTCCACATGCAACCTAATTAATATTATTTTCATGTAGATGAGCAACTACTCTTCCATCATTCCGTGGATGGTATTCTATATACATTGCAATTTCACTTTGAACAACTCCTCGAGGAATGACAATTTCACTAAGAATTTCCAAACACAGATGATGATCTCCATTGCAATTTCACTAATAACAACTCCTCAAGGAATGCTTCCTTAATTATTCGGCTAGTCTAGCTAGGTGCCATTGGAACTAAATGGAAACGCTGTTGGGCACCCCTCTACAGGTGACACCAGGTTCAGAGCTTGGAACGAGTAGTTCATACGGTAAAACCCCGGCCCCGCATCGGTTCCTGAGGTTTGGATCATGGTTCCTCTTCTGGATTTCCTTCTCTATCCCTCTGATCTCCGCTGAGAACCCATAAAGTGCCTCAATAATCTCAGCATCTCCGGACCAGGTAGAGGGCTGCTGTCTCTCTCCAAGATACTCTTCGTCGGGTGAGTGCGTTGACAGAGTGTCCACAACTGCCATGAATTGTGTGGCCTGGAGCAACGTCGGCAGCGAAGAGAGGAAGAACCGGTGCGGATCGGCCCGGAAATTTGCATACTCGGGGTCGTCTTCCTGCGGTAGCAACCGCCTCATGAGCGGCGGACGGTTTGGAACGTAGCCACCGTAAGGGTACTGCCCGAAATTGAGGGCAGCATGCTGAGCAGACGCAAGCCAAATGAGGGTGGTGAGGATAGAGACGAGATCATCCACAGTGGAGAGACTGGGCCACCAGCTTTGGTGCCGAAGATCAGCGTGGCCTTGGTTTATGGACTCGGAGTACCAGGCCTGGAGTTCGGTGTCGGTACGAATCGAAGAACTCGAATCACCATAATAGTGGTTTACGTAGGTTCGGACCCACGATTCGATAGCGTCCCAGATGAGGAGACCATCGTTGGCGTAAGGGTAGTCTTCAATGAGGAGCTTTAGGCCATGAGGTTGTGTTAGGTCAAGAACCGCCATACCCCTGCATCGGTTGCGCGCGAAATTAATAATTAAGCCACTGTACAAGGATTAAGAAGAAAAAAACTTGAAGATGAGACGAGAGAAGTACCTGCGAATGAGGTCTGCGGGGAGACCCTCAAGGTCGAAGCGCCAGAGGCTACGGTAGGCAGCAGCGCTGATCTCCATGCAGTATGGACCAGGAGTGAAGCAGGACTCAATGACACCCTCGGCGCTGATGAGGGTCTGGCGTGCCAGGGCGTTTATATCTAAGGTGTATCGCATATGTGGATCCAGAAGCTTGAAGATCGGGTGCATTGCACTCAATTGCCTGTGCGCCGCTATTACGAAAGGTTCTATGCTGGCGTGAGTCCGCAACCTGCTCACAGTCAAAGCCATTAATATTTTGCGAGTGAAAAAGTGTGGCTCTGCCGTGCCGCTGCTGTTTAGTGCTTACCAATGGTTGACGAGTTGATGAACGCCAGCGTCGTTTGAGCAAACATGGGCTCTGGCTAGCTGCCAGAGCCAGGAGGTGGTGGCATCCACAGGAGGAGTGAGAACCCGGGTGGATTGAGAATGGGAACCTGTATACGGGAGACTGAGCTCAATGGCTATAGGCTTAAGTGTGCCAAGCGGGGTCAAGAAGAAGATGGTACGAGTGGCATAAGCTTTCCGGCCTTCGAGAGCGTTTATCCGCTCTAGAAACGGGAGGTAAATGTCATGGTAGTCCAGTGTAAACAGCTTATTCTCCTCCATAGCCTGAAATTAAAACACCTGTTTATAATTAATAAATATTGATCAAACAAACCAAAAGTAAAAACAGCTAATTACCGGGCGGCCGATACAGAGATGTAATTAGATACCTGTTGTACAGACAAGCCTCCCAGATAGCCCACGATGTGTTCTTCTTTGAGTGCCGATTCTTGTGGGCCGTAAACCTCAGGATCCAACTGGCTTACTGGCGGGAAAACCTGATGATTTTATTTTCTTTATTATTGGATTTGGATATATAAGGAATTAACAATAGTCATACAAGCAGCCTATAGCTCCTCCAGCAAAATTATCCCTACTCCCTAGGAGGCTAGGATAGAAAGAAAAAGAATTAATTACTAACCTCAAGCCGCCGGATGCTGACGGGGTTAATGCCTGCAAGTGTTTGACGGGCGAATTCGTCGTCTCTTAACCAAGCAAACTTGTCCCCTACAAGTACGAGGGAGAGAGAGATGTAGATGTTAGGCTTTGAGCGATAGCACAAGGAGATGGCCTTGTGATTTTAACTGCTCCAATAAATTTAAAATTCAAATCATCAGCTAGCACTGTGTAACTAATATTTTGATGACTGATACAATAATAAATGAATGAAATGGGTTGGGTTGGGTGATGGGCGTGCTCACTGGAAACGATAGTGGGAGTGTCGTATCTAAGAAGGCTCTGACTGGACTCCTGGAGTTTGCTTACGATATTGGGCAAGGGAAGCTTCTTCATAAGCTCATCCTGTAACCCCAATTTAAGGAGTAAACCTTCTTTGTAAAGGCTGTCGACGTCGCAGAAGTCCTTGAAGTCGTGGTTGTCGTCGGCAGAGAGGCTGGCGAACAGGGAAGGTATTAAGTTGTGGAGCACGGCCTTCAGCCTTCCCACTGAGAATGTCTTCTGTTTCGACTCCTCGAAGGCTTCGTCCCGTGGCACGTAGATGGGCACTGGCTTCTCCGCACGGCTCTCTGCGTTCATGTCTGTGCAAATTTGAAACGGAACCATTAACCAACACGCATAATTAAGTTAAGGGCATTTCAGTCCTCTTCCTTCAAATGCTTTCAATGGACCAGTCACCAGACTATTATTACGTACTAATTACATTAATAATATTTCTTTCTTCATTAATCTTGACAAACACCTGCATTTAATTTATGTTAAGTTTTTCAAAATTAACGCTCTGGCCGCCACTGGTTTTCGGGTGGAACTGTTCAATTATTCTTGGAAAGAACATCCTATGATGTTTTTAAAATTAAAACAAAGATGAGATTTTTTTAAAAATAAAATAAATAGAAAATAAAGATGATCTAGAAATTGTTGCCCCCATCAAATAATTCAATGGTTCAACCATCTAAGTCAGTGGTTTACTAATCAATACCACAATTTTTTTTGGAAAAATCCAGGTTAGGTCAGGTGAAAATGAAAAACAGAATTGGACAGGTGATTGGTTGAATTAGGTCGCTTAGGTTAGGTCAAGGATGGTTTTAAACACTCTAGATTTACTACCCACAAATTGTTCCTACATCACTATCAATACTGCTGTGTATGTATTAGGAATATCTCCCCTTGAATGATAAGGAAAATATTAAAACCATGATATATGTATTATTTTCTAGTTTTCATCTTATATTTTTTAATTCAAAGCTTATACTTTATTTGTTTGCAAAATCGAAAAAATTAATAATTACAACTGTTTATGATAATTAGTCATCACTAGATTTTACATAATAATGAAAAAACTTTTAAAAATTATCTTCCCAAAACAGTAAACCAAAATCCACTTTTGAATAAATGCCCACAGATTAATAATTTAATTGGTGAAAGAATTTGACATCCGTGGTTTATTGACTTTATTCTTCTGGTACCTGTGTAGTTTGGTAATAAAAGTTAAATATTGTTTATATATATAATTGCAAAAGTACATAGACGTAGAGATGAGATGCAAATTAATCAACTAACCGGTTTCAGTTGGAGGTCGGCCAGTACGGCATCGTCTTGGATAAGGGATGTCTTCACCCCCCAGAGTTGCCCTCGAAAACTCCACTCCCTTATCAGGGTTTCCCAAATCCTTGTAAGTATCGTAGTCGTAGATTCTATCAGACAATTTCCTCGCTCCCTTGCCATCACCTCTCAGCCCTCTCAGTTCCTTCTCCCTCAGCTCTTTCAGCCCATCCGGTGTCTCCCACGGCAAATATGGCTGTCGATTGAGAATTCCAACAAATTCAGCTCAAGCCAACCAAAAAATGTCTAAGCCAATGAAATCACCCTTTTGGCTTCTTGTGTATACACAAAAGTTAAACTAAATGACTATATATACTAACACTATTAACACTATTAGAAGTTTAATATCCAATTTGAACCGAATCAGAAAATATCTGAATTTAAATTCGACCAATTAATTATTTTAAGTAATTAATATATATTTTATTTATATAATTTAATTATTACATATATATTATTAAAAATATTTAAATATTTAAATATTATATATATATATATATATATATATTTAATAAATGTCGATTTCAAATATTTATCAAATTAACTTGGATCACATCCAAATTTGATTCGATTAATTAAACAATATTAATGAGATATCCGAATTTAATATTATCCATTCGACCAATCTTTTTCAAGGTTCAGCTAATGAGATATTGACACTCGTTTGGACTACCACCCTTACCACTTTTGTCATACGTTCTCAGCTAACCATAGCCCAATCTTTTTCAACGGTTCAACCTTGAGAGTTGAGTTGAGAGGTGGTTAAGTAAAGAAAAAATCTGGCTTCAAAATTGGTGTTCATGAATCCAAGAATCCAAGGGAAGAGCATTTAATTTACTTTACCTTGTTGGAAAAGAAAATCCTGGAACCCGGGTGATCTTTCGTGGATTGAACCCACGAGTTACAAGCAAAGTGGACAGGACCGCATGCGAAGCCTTCGATGGTGATGTTCTCCAAGAAGAACTCTTTCTGGTGCTTGTTACTCACCGTGATGGCTCCGGGTATCCCAAAGCTTGAGTCCACCGTGAATTCTGCTGTGTAATTCACCCGTTCCGACCGGACGTTCCATTTCTTCGACCAGTTGAGCACGGCTTCGCTACTCTTCTTCGGTGCCTTTGTTTCTTCAGAATATAAGTAGAAAATTAAAGAACGAGATCAATCAAAATTATTAGGGAAAGTGGTTAAAACACATCAGTTAAAGAACAAGGAGAACAAGAACGAAATTTACAATTCAGAAGAAGAAAGGGAATCGGCCTATTTGGATCAGAATTATATAAATTAGTAGGAATCTGAAAATGAAGGTGGCTTGCAACTCTGTCAGGAAATAACAGAGACTCTCAGAAATGAATTCGTTCAAAGTAGAAGACAAATAGTCAACAAAAATCGATAGGACAAAAGGACTTACTTGAGTCAACTTCCGTGCTTACAAGCTGTAAAACAACATTCCTCCCGATCTTATCTGTCAAAGCATCTAAGTGCTTTACGATCGTTTCCTTCAAATCTTCCTTGTGCTTCTTCCGGACGGTTACCACAGCTCTCACCTTAAATTTCACAGGCTGTTCCTCCACCGCAACAATGACGAAATTCTCACTAATAGCCGCAATTGGGATCCTTGAAACCCTCCTCAAATGCACTCTTCTCTGCTCCGGAGAAAGTAAAACGGGGGTAAAGCGGAGCTTGTTCGGTTGCCAATTTAAACGATGATTGAGAAGAGATCCGGAAGAAGGAAGTAAACAACTTCTCTCCACCAAAGACAAACCCAAGGTTTCATTTACCCCTGCCATGATTCTCAAAACCCACCAATCTGAAGTTCTTTGATGTGTTTAATCTCTGCTTGGATCTATGAATTCTTGGTTCTTTGGTTGTAGAGAAGAGCAACAAATAAGACAAAAAACACACACAGATGGCTTACGCTAGGATTGCTGAGCGGGGCATTATTTAAAGACTTTGAGCGAGGCGAGAGAGGAGGCTCTTTCTGCTAATAGTCTTCACGTTTTCCAAAATAAAAAAATAAATAAAAAAAAAAAAAAAAAAACAGAGAAATACACTACAGAAACTGCATCCTGCCCATGGATTTGGCATCGATCCACATGGGGCTAAGAATTTTGAATTTTGAAGTGGACTCAACAGTCATTCTCTTAAAAAAAGCGAATGTAATAAGGGTATTAATTTTCGTTTGGAGTTCACAAAACAGGTTTCTACACCCTACCAGCTAGATCTTACACTACACATCTCACTATGAAATTGAGACCCACTATAAAACTGGCTCCTACCAATCTACTATACATGAGATGTATGGTGTCAAATGATGTTAATAGGGTGTGGGAATATATTGTATCGGCAGGTGATCCAGATTTCATAAACAAAGCAAAAGAATGCAAGTAGGGCTGTCAATGGGTCGGGTTAGACCCATTGTCCCAATAACTGATTGGTTCGGTTCTGGATTCAGAATTACAGACCTTATAGAATTTGGATTGATTACAGGACCGGTTCTACCTGATTCTGACCTAGAACTATCCCGTTAATAGCCCTAAATGTAAGTGCCCATTTGATTTATGGGAATAAGGGGTCTTGGAAATGAAATCCAATTTATATTTTCCAAGAAATGAGAGGAAATGTCTATTCCCCAATTGCAGCTTATTCAGAGTCTTGCCTGAATCAAATATACTATGAGAATATATCATTCCAATTTCCATTTATAAGGAATTTTATTTAAATTCCAATTATAGGATGTGCCTTGTGGGACGGAGATGTGAACTCGCATGGAAAAGGCCTTCTTTTAGTAAATTAGCAATCATATGCCCATGATGGGATCCCAAGTCCAGTCCGGGTCTCCTGGAGAAGATGTGACTAGCATCTTTTCTTACAGTGGTCAGTAATCCCAACTCCATGCAAGTTCAAACAAGATCCATAAAATAAAAATTAGGAAACCTATTTTATTAGGTCATGCCCTCTAATTAATCAATACTACTGTCAAAAAGAAAGAGTTAGTACGGGTCCATTTTAGTTAGAATCAGAATCAAAATTTCTCTGAGAATCAGAATTAGAATGGTCTATTCTTATAATTTATTTGTTTCAGATAAAAAATGGAATTGGAATTTAGAATCAATTGGGATGGAATTCCCAAAAAAGGGGGTGGGGGAGAATAGTCATTCCCTCAAATTGGGGCAATCCACTAATTCTGTCCAATCTAACAGCTGAAATCAGACCGGGTCATTCTGATTCTCGTCCAATCAAACAGTTGAAATCAGAACTCTGATTTCAATTCCAAACCCTATTCCTGTAGTCCAAACGTGCTCTAAATATAATATTCTTTTATTCTTTTGGTGGTTCCATTTTTAGATTCAACTCGTCAAAAAGATCAACACACTCCCAACCTTTTCTTTTTCCAACTAGCACATTAGTACAGTACTGCCAGAGAAAATGGTCCTATCATCCGGTGTCGACATCTTTAATTGATTTGCTTCAGAAAAAAAAAAGGTTATGAGTTAAAATAAAATTAGATAGTTGTATATGATCGATATCTAAGCATATGTAGTAACATCTGTAATCTATTAACACATATGAGGGTCAACTAGGGCCAAATCAACGATTCTAAATACTAGGCTCCCACCGATCATTTTGGGTCCAGATTTCAGTGAAGGGACAGCTGATCAACCATTTCATTCATCCGTGTGTAGTGTGTACGATAACCGATGTGTGCTGAAAACCAAGGGGTGAGTCAGAGGAGTCACCTTCCAATCCATGGATTTTGAAATCGTGTGAAAGCGTGACGGTTTGACTGAATTGCCTTTGTGCCTTTTTTGTCTCACCTCACCGATTGGCAAACCATAATATAATAATGAGAAGAAAAGAAACGGCAGGCCAGCTTCACACATAATACTCCAACCCACCCGCAGATAAACCTAAATCCATGGGGCGGTGCACCAACTGAGGGTCCATGGTCCACGAATATTGCCCATCTCCCCTGATGGTTGGGTTAAAGTGCTAAACCCACGAGGCCACGACCACCCCATTCTTTTGAATTTGAACGGTCATAAGCCTGTCAACCCGATGGTTTCATTACTTCAATTTGTTGCTTGGTCAACTCTCCACACCCCTCCATCCATTTCCGTCCATCAATCAAGCAATACATTGATGACCTAATACTTGAGGTCATTGGGCTTTTACTCTGATGACGGTTCCAGAAGCTTTATGGGCACCACAGCTTTCCATTCAATTCTTTATATTCTCTTCCCAACTTTTCATTGCTTGTACTAAGGGGAGTCTGGATGGATTGTGCCAAGGCCCAAGGGAGACTTAGGCCCATTTTGCATTGTGTACCTTGGTCCGGGCCCAGGTCAACCCAAACCTAGACCAAACTCTAATTTAGGCCTATTTTAGGGCCCATTCATTGCCCCAATTTATAGTGGGCCGGACCTCAGGCCTGTAGTCTGCCCAATTACAAGCACAAACCTAGACATCAGTCTATTTATTCTATTTTATTGAGTAAGAAGTCAGAACCACACCTTTATCATTATGAGACCAAATTTGCTCCTCACAAGAGTGTACCTCACACCAACCTCACAGCATTTGCAACCGCACATCAGGAATATCTCTCCTACTTGTATATTGTCATTCGTGGGAGATATTCCTAATGCACTGCTACAACATGCTGTAAGGTTGATGTGAGGTACACCCTGTGAGGAGTATATCCGAATTCCACCTTTATACTTCATGGGAAAGTAGTAGCAGCAGGCTTCAGTCGATCTCAAGCCAGATCATCAATTCAAATTGAGGTGGATGCAGCCCTTAATGCTGTGTTTGGTATGAGGGAAAAATTAGAGAAAGGTAGGAAAACGTTTATAAACCTTGTATAGGTTTCCCTACCTTTTCCTTTAAACCAAACATAGCCTAAAGGTGTTAAACAATGGTGGCTTGTCCCCATTAGTTATTGAGATGGACTGTCAGGTTCTAGTTAAAGCCTTAAGCACTCTGGAGCAGAAGATTCAGTGTGGGCCGTGGGTGGGATGTTGTTTTCTGTTACGTATATGCGGGTTCACAGGGGTCTCTAAGGCCATGTTTGGTTCAATTCTCTTTCTTACCCAAGATGAAATTCTAAAATGGACAAGAATTGGTAAAAATAGGCAAAATGAGAAAATATTGCTATGAACCAAACATTTTTTTCCTAAAAATGATTTCTTTTCAGATTGACAAGTGTCCTATGTTGCTCATTTTCATTCTTAAAAAAAATTGTCGGTATTCATAAACTGCTAGCCTAGGTCTAAAATAGTTAATGTTTAACAGTTGGCATGGATGTTTTGTCAAAGTACTTTTGTAAAAGTGCTTTTATAAAAGTAATTTCATAAAAGTGCTATTATAAAAGAACTTTCGCAAAAGTACTTCCACAAAAGTGCTTTTATAAAAGTACTTTCGTAAAAGTGTTTTCATAAAAGTACTTTTGTAAATGTGCTTTAGTAAAATACTTTTACAAAAGTGCTTTCGAAAAGGTACTTTTGCAAAAGTGCTTCGTAGAAGTGCTTTTGCAAAAGTAAACACCTATGGCAACAGTTTTGTAGGCAATGTGCTTTAGTAAAGTACTTTCATGTAAAAGTACTTTTATAAAAATACTTTCATAAAAGTACTTTGGTAAAAATATTTTTGCAAAAGTAAACATTTATGGCATCAGTTCTATAGGAAGAGTTTCCTCAAAGAATGAAAACAAGCAAGATGGGGCATGATTATTTTTCATGTTGATGGCTACTCAGTTTTTGTGCTATGGAGCTGATTTTTTATTCTAAAAAGAATGTGGCCCATGACAAGAATTTTGTAGCCAAATACTCTAATGTCATTCATTCTTGACCATTCTTGCCTAGAATAAAAAAAAATTAAAAGAATGAGATCCAAAATAGTGAACCCTTTTGTTATCAATATCTCCAGGTTGAATGATTTTTCTTTCTTTTCTTTTTCTTTTTTTTGATAATAAATAAAAGGGGCTATACAAGACAGGGGATAGCACGTCCCCACATTTGAAGCTATCAGTGACTCAAATAACAATAATAATAACTGTAATTGTAATTCTGTTTTTTTTTTCTTCTTAATTCTCTTATTTGTAATTGTCTGCGGTCTGTCTGAAGATTTTTCTACGTTCCAATTAGGCTTATTCATGGGCCAGATTTAGACTTGAATTTTGCTAAATTTTAATGAGTTCGATTTAAAACCTGAATCCGATAGAGTGTGAAGTCAGACTCGAAGCCCAACCAATGAACAGGTCTAGAACCGACATATAAGTAGGAGTGAGGCAGCTATCAGGACAATGTATGTATGAGTGTCGTGGCAGCTTTGGTTTGGGCTTTGCGAGGTGGAGGTGGGCATTCTAACTCCATCAGCCAACATACCAAACCCATCACTCCTCCCTATGCCCATCACCCACCCACTCTTATACACTTTGTTAAAAGAGATTTAAACACAATTAAATGGGGGTTCCCCTGGGTTTGGTATTCATGATGCATGAAGCCACACAAGACAGATTTGTTAATGTGTGATCAGCCAATGATTTTGATAAATCAAATTCTACAAATATACTGACCTTAGAAATATAAATAATTCTCCCTTAGCCAATCGCACTACTTTCCTTACTGAATAAAATTTTAAGGTGGTTGTGGGTTCTTTATTTAATGAAATTAAATGAAACTGAAGTTGGGTAGACCATTAATAATTTTCTTGAAAATTTTACTATTTAATTATTTTGATAACTTAAAAGACAAAACAATAAGACTTTCAGTTCAGGTTCAGAATGGGGACGACTATGATCCATATTAAAAGCTCTGATAGACTGATACCATATTAAAAGCTTGAAATGTTAGGTCAGGTTCTGAATGAATTTTAATTAATTCTCTTAATACTTGTTGTGAAATCCCTTGACGGTCAAGCACTGTCGGTCACAATTGTATTCCATTCGAGAGAGAACGATTGAGAACACGAGAATGAAGAGTGTATCCCATCAGTCTGTTGCAGTAAAGATGTACTGGCATCATATCAGGGATGGATTGAACTTTGAACTAATTTATTTTAATTTTATTTCATTTATTTATTATGATATTTCTGAAACGATTTTCATTAGTGTTCATGAGAAATCGCTTCCGATCGAGCAAAAACAACATAGTCGACTGAAATATAAAAATTGAATTAATACTATAAGAACGGGCAGCGGTTAAGGTAAGGTTTTATATAAAAACTTTTAAATAGAAATATAGTTGGAAAGATCCATCATCCATCGAATGTCAATGCAATTTATATAATAATCTTCATACCCATCAAAGACAAGAAACTTCAACCAACAACAGGTAAATAAAAGAGGATTTGTTCATGAGAAGTACTAGTACTGTGCTACTTTGCGTTCTTATGCTGTTTGTTGAAGTACCCCTAGAACTACGAGCCCCGGCCTCCACCGCCTCCTTTTCCGGCCTCCAACATCGCCACCACCACCCCTTTCCTCCGCCCATTTGTTAAATTAATATTTGGTTTAAACTGCAAAGGACCAAATTTGATATAATAATTATATCTACGATATTAAAAATGAAACTTAATTTATATTTACATCAAATTATAATTACATCTAAAGTAATTTTAAATGTTTGCCTGATGAGCTTCTCGGTGTAATTCAATGAACGTTCAACTCAACAATGTTTGGCATGGGCAAAAATGGGGTTTTCCAAAAAATTGAAAGCCCTACGTCATCGTCTTTCGTCATAGAAAGGGAGCAGAAGTGAAGAACCCAGAGGAGATTTTAGACAGTAATATCGGATAACTAACAGCAAGTTTCAGTATTTTATCTAAAATAAAACTCATTATTGATAAAATCACATGTAATGTCGGTAAGCCGGCATTTAGTTATCCATGAAATACATAAACAAAAAAGTACAAAAAACTAAACTGTGTACGTGAATAGGAAGAGAACCAGGAATTCATGGCGCCGGCCAGCGGCCACATGCGTTGCGACTGTTACAAGAACAAATTAAAAGCACAACGCAGATCTAGAGAAGCGGCTGAAACGTTGAATCAAGCTCAACAAATGACCAGTCCCGTCTTTTTTAGCCAAAAGAATAGAGATTCATTTCGGGCAATTGTTAGTTTGCACAACAGAATATATATATATATATAGAGAGAGAGAGAGAGAGAGAGAGAGAGAGAATATGGCATGAATATAAACAATTAAGTTTCGATCCCTTCGCTCTGGTTCTGCTTCATCGCTAATATCACCGCCCCTTTCATAGATTATATTCCTCCCTGTTCGAGATCCTATTAATGTAAGCAGTCTACTAAATGATCATGGAGTTTTTTTACATTTTCAGCCAATAAAACAACACGATGAAATTCAAAACAAAAACGGAGATTACTAGAAAAATAACTAAACGCAAACAAAAAGGAAAGAAAGGAGAGAAAAACCGACTGAGTTGCTCTACGTCTGTACTATGTTAAAAATAATTGATGGGGCGAGGCCGATTAGGACCGAAGGAGGACGGAATGGTGGTGGCAGGGACGCCCATGATGGGGACAGTGAAATAAGTTTCCATGATGAGCCTTTGCTGCACGGCCTCCAGTGTAGCGCCGGCTTCTATGAGGTCCTTCACTACCGAGTAATACCAGTCTTTCAACTTCTTCAACATGCATGAGTACTGCAGCTTCAGCCACCGCAGCCGGATCTTCCGGAAAACCTTCACGAGGAACAACCCTCCACGGCGTTTCTTCCCTCCCAGATGGATCGTTTGCACTTTCCGTCGCCGTGTCGTCAAGATCTTCCGGCGTCTCGGCAACCGGAAGATTGTATTCCGGTGGTTGTGGGTCACATTGTAAGGGTGGATCTCATCGTCGTAAGCCATGAGATTCAGGGAGAGAGATTTCTGGCCTGTGCTATGGAAAGGGGTTAAAGTTGACCAAATAATAAAGGGGAAGAGAGAGAATATTTTGCTAGGCGTGGGGCCCAAGGCTGGCAGATAAGAGTCAGATCGACAACATGCAATCAAAGGGCATCAGTTCTATTTTCTTTGAGATCAGCAAGTGGGACACATGTTTTAATTATTCAAAGTTATGAACGGTGGTGATGCTTTTAAGATGAAGTGTAGTATTGAGTTGGGTGGGGTGGGGTAAAATATAATACATCACTGATTCACTACTTAAAATATTCTAAATGCCTGGCCCGGACGGTCGGACCAGGGACCACCTGCTTAAAACAAGCACTCCGCCGAGCGTCTCAGTCCGTTATAACTACCTTTCTTAATTCTTACACATCCTAGGGAGCGTATTCTCTCTCTCAAATCTATGATACAGAAACGACATGATACCCGAAGAGCGAGTAATTAAAACACACTCCCGTGAATATTATCACCTCTTTTATGATATCGACTGGTTATAAGTTTTTGGATATCATATCTTTCTAGTATCATAGTAGAATCCAATAAAAAAACAATTTATACATAACATATATAACCTATTAGTAATAGGCCATCACATGCTCAATGTATTGTAAGTATAATAATACTATAAATCTAGAATAAACCTGTACTGGTATTAAATAGATGACCATGTTTTATAAGAAATGATCACATTTAATTTCCTAATAAAAAATAAATCGAATTGATTGTAGAAGAAATTAAATAGCCCCACATTTCGTTTCTTAAATTTAGAAAAAGTAAAAAAAAAAACATAAATTTCCAAGGAAATTGAAATACAATTTGAGAAAAGAGAATGAGTTGAGGTCGATAACCGCCTTTAACTAAAATTCAACTGGAATTATAAATATAATAGCCAATCAGGTGTTATTTATCAAAATTCATGGGTGAATTTTAATTGATGAAAACTCTTACCACACCATATCTTTTTTGCATCATAAATTTTCCTTATATATAAAAAATAGATTAATAATAATAATATTGGAATGGTTGTGACATGGGTAGAATAGAAGCTTGCAATTGTAGCAACTGCCAAATATTAATTAAGTGGTTGAGAGAGTTGGGCAAATTTTGGATGATGTTGCTTATGTATGCATGACTTATCCCATGATGCATGATCCCACATGTAAGATAAGTCCACAAATCCACCTTTATGCTGACAAAATTATCCTAACCTCATTTCATTTTTTTAATATTATTATGGCATTTTCAGCAACATGTTTTTGGATATGGCATCTTTTCTACATGGGTCTCCACCACACTCTAGACCATGAGACTTGTGCATTGCACGTGGCCAAATGATATTGTATTGAAATGAGTGGTGTTTTTACAGTCAGAGGCTTTCGTTTTTTTAAGAAATAGAATTTTATTGTATTTTTTCGATAAATTATGGGTCCTGTGATAAAGTTAATTTTTTGGTTGGGTAATTGATATTCATCTCCCATATGATTAATTTATTTGGAAATTAAAAGAATATGGCTTAATCCGAATAAGTGTTAATTTTGTAAAATTTAAATTATATCCAAAATAATAAATAAATAAAAGAAAAAAAATGTTAGAACATGAATGAAGGCAACCAGACCTCCTTGTCCTCCTCCACTGCTCTCTCCCTTCTCAGACTCCAAAGAACGATTCAAGAGCAGAAGTTTTGGCCTTCAACTCACCGGCGGAAAATTCCTTTCTTTGGGTTGCTATCAAAGACCTTTGATTGATTTTGGTTTATTGGAGTGCTCTTTGAGGACTCCCACTGCTAGGTTTCTAGAGAAAAAATTCATACAAAGATGGATTGTTGAAGAAATTAAGGTGTTTGATTTGTAGAGAGTGCAGTAAAAAAAATGTAGAGGTTGTTAATATATAGGGATTAGGGAGTGCAGGAGATCCGGAATTGAATCCTACTATTAGTAATCAATAAATAATATAATCAATATTAAACGAAAAATTGGGCCATGGCCCATGGTTGGAAAGAATACAGAAAGCAAAAAAACAAGAGAAATGCCAAGGCAAGTAGAATGATTGAAGCAAGAAAGAATTGAAAGTCTCATCTTTATATCAAATTAAGTTGTAAGTTTTGGTACAACCGTTGTCTCAGCTCATCTGTCCGTCTTTTCTCTTGTTGGCATGCAGATGCAGTGCTGTGGTGAATGGTGAGGTCATTCATCGTATCAAAATTTCATTAGCAATGTCCCTTTCGCCTCTTGTTATTATATAAATAACCTAAGCTGTTAAGACAAACTCTGCGGTGAATTGCTCTGATATTATCAGATATGTTTGATTCTGAGTATAATGTACCCAATTCTCTATTTGATTCAAATATGAGCTGGCTGGCGACCCCAGAAAAGCTCATTTCATTTATGGATAGATGAGGATTCGTTATTGATTAAATCAATGGAACGTTCTTACTTTTCCTCTTAATATTAGAGCCTTTAGGGGAACTCTTTGCCCATGTAGGGTGTAGTTCATCCGGTCCCAATGAAAACCCACCTCTGAATGTAATTTTATCTGCCCCTAACCTAAAATGAGACTAGTAAAATTCCTCTTATATATACCCATTTACATTATGGTTTTCAAAATCGGATCAGATCGGATGGTCAGACCGGAAAAATTAGGAACCAGTCAGGGAGACTGGTTCTGTTTTACCCGAGAACCGTTACTTCCCTAAAAAACATTGATTTAGTCAGCAAATCGCTGATTCGGATGGTCGAATTGTTTGAACCATTCAATGGTTTGGTGGTTTTTAAATTTTTTTATTTTTTTTTGTCAAAACGAGTCGTTTGTTCGATTCGAATGGTTCGACCCGAAAATTGGACCCCTAATCGGTCTATTGTTCGGTTCGATTTTAAAAACCTTGATTTACACTATTAACATATAGGAACTTCTAATTAATTTCCAATTCCCTTCTATTGGGGTCATGGTTGAGCTGGCCCTAAGAGACATGTGGCCGCCCAATCATCACCCAGCCACGTCAGCATAGCCCGGCCATATCAGCATAGCTTGGTCACGTTGGCATACCACAGCCAGGTCAGCTTGGCTCGGCCGAGCTATGTTATTATCGTGATCCCCCCATCTCATCCCTCCAACCACGTCAGCTACACGCCCCACAGATAAGCTCAACCTCGGACAAGGGGGTGGGAAGACAACTCTGCCGAGGAGTAGGACTCTACCCCGGTAACCTCAGCGGAGAGCTCCATCCCAATCTCCCCAGAAGCCTAATCCGACTAGGAGACGAAACCCTGGCTATAAAAAGGTGCTCCATGCTCAAGGTAAGGGATTCCAACTTCTAGCACCCATAATGTTACTTTGCTCAGACCATCACCCTCATTGCTCAGCCTGACCATTCACCGCCCTCTCACTAACTTGAGCGTTAGAGTGTCTACCTGGGGACAACTCCTCGGGCCTCTGACTTCTCTTGACTGTAGGATACATAGTGCGGCACCGTCCTTGTAAGCTCGACACTGCCCAGTCAGCAACGATTATCTAGTTGCTCTCCTCAGTTTGTGCACCACCTCGGATTGAGTAGCAATAGATTGGCGTCGTCTATGGGAGCGCACAAGAAGCCTTCCTAAAAAAACAAATCCTTCGCCGCGCAGCCTCAAAATCGATCAAGATGCCTAAAAACCAGTCTAAAGAATCAGCAGGCCGGTCCCCATCTCAGGAGCCCCGACATCACAGCTCCTCGCATCAGGAAGCCCTGTAGCCCTCGGCCGCGGTGGAGTCTGTCGTGCCGCCCAATTGGGTCGTCCCCCCTCACGCACGACGCGCACGAAGGACGACCCTCAGAACGAGGAATCCAAAGTACATCGGTCATATGTGAGGGGAGCACGGTCCGAGCAAGAGAAGTAGGACACGACCCGAAGGCCCGCCTCTACCGCCCGCTCCCGCGAGCAGGATCACTATAGCCAGACACGCCAGTCAGCTTGGATCCCCGCCAAAGAGAGGCTCGGCAAGAGGACGCCGCCCTTCGTGGTCTCCGTTGTCAAGTCAAGTTCAGTGAAGGACCGCCCTACGTGACCTAAGAAAGAGAACCCACACTACGGCCCCAGACGACAGAGACGCCGAGATCATAGAACTCCGACAACGTTTAGAAGAACTAAAACGCACTTAAACCCATAAGAGCGTGACACCCGCCATGGACCAGCCAGCGCGGGCTGCCGCACATTCTGTCAATGAGCCGCCCTTCGTCCAGGAAATCATGGACAAGATGTCCCCCTGGATGGTGAGCCCCCAGTTCAACAAATACGACGGGAACACCAACCCTTTCAACCATGTTGCGGCACTCAAAGCTCAGATGATGTTGCACAGCGCATCAGAAGGGCTAATGTGCAAAGCCCTTGTAGCCACCCTGCAAGGTCCAACTTTGGCATGGTACTCATCTCTATCGCCACACTCCATAACATCATGGGACTAGCTAGAGTCCCAGTTTCTGGCGCAGTTCACCGCTAGCCAGAAGCATTGGAAAACTTCGGCCAGCCTCATGCAAATCCGACAGTGGAAGGCAGAGACCCTTAGAGATTACCTGGCGAGGTTCAATCAGGAAGCACTCCAAGTCAGGGACTTAAACCAATCAATCGCAATTACGGCCATACAACATGGGTTCCGCCCTTCCCCGTTCAACTTCATCCCCAAAAATCCTCCTCAAACGCTAGCCGTGCTAATAAGCCACACGCAGAAGTATATCAATGCTAAAGAGGCTCAGGCGCAGCTCAGAGACGAAGATGAGAAGCCTGACAAGAAGAGGAGAGATACCAGCAAGCAGAAGTCCGAGAGGTCGAATAGAGATCACAAGAGATAGGATCGCCGACCAGACCATAGACCTCGGACCCCTCCACCAACATATTGGAATTTCACGCCGCTCAAGATTCCGTGGTCTGAAATTTTGATGCAAATCCGTGACCACAACTACGTCAGGTGGCTCGAGAAGATGAAGACGCAGAGTAACAAGAGGAACCGAGACAAATACTGC